TTTATATATAATATATATATATAATGAACATCTTTTGGCCTTTCTTTTCCGAAAATTTTAATGGTTGTAGCACGTAAAATGTTTAAATTACCAATCAGTTTTATGTGATTAGAATAAATAAAATTTTCCTGTTAAAGACTTTTACACATACTTATTATCTAATACAAAGTAAAGAAGAGCCTTTTACTTAGCAGATTTACTTAATTTATTTGGTAAGACTTAAAAAACATTTTTTCCCTACCGGTAGACATTAAGCTGTTGCTTCATAAATTAATTAATGTGTTAAATTTTTTTAAACCCTCAGACTCGAGGTAAATTATTTAACGAAATTCTCACGCGTAACTTACTCAACGTTTGTAACTCAACGATGTACTCTTTGATTGAACGCGAGCAAGAAGTTGTTTGGAAAAGTTTTAACACAGATTTTAAGCAATTTTGGATAAATGGAAGAAAGAAAAAAGAAGAATGAAGAAAAAAGGTAGAGTGAAGACGAATATCTAATAAAAAATCTCTTGAGAAACGAAAACTGAGACTTTAACTCTGTATATGCGAAAAAAATTCATCACGTTTTAGTTATAAAAAGATTTTCAATCGAATAACATCGTCTATTATTTTTGGTGTCTTAATAAACGTGAGGTAAATTGAAGAATTTTCAAAACGAATAAAAAAATAAACAATATTTCGAAGCAAAAGATAATGTTTGGCATTTTGATGTCATGTGATTTATTAAATATTTAGATGCGTTACCGAAGATAAGTTATTATTAAATAGTTTCATTATAATTCGGCATCTTTGTAACTTTAAGTGATTAAATTCGAATTTGAATGAAGAGTTAATGACTTCGTACAATGAAATTCATGACTTTTAACTTTAATTACTTCAAATCATCAAGTTTCTCAAGTGTTCATCTTTTGCTTGCTATTTTTTCCACGATTCATCTTGTGTTCGTTTTAATTCAAAAACTCTTATATTTAGTGTGGGAAAGAAAGAGAAAGATAAATTTTGGTCCAACATTATTATGTCATTGCTACTTTTCTTTAAAACTATCCAAAAAAAAATTAGCAGTCTAAGAATTGGAAAATATAAATACCTATATGAAAACGCATTTTTTGAATCCTAAATCTACGTTGAAAATATATCCATATCAATGATCGACGTATATTTATATCAAGTCAGTTGAAATCTTGAATTCCTTTGTCATTCTTTTCAGTAAAAAATGAATAAATTTTTCTCGATTGTTAAAAATTCGAGCAGTTGCTTCAGATTGAAATGAAGATCGGAAATGTATAGTATTGACATTTAACTAAAATACCTACATATACATATAAGAGCTTTGAAGATCAAGCGCGAAATTAATGCTAAAACAACGAAAGACCTACCCAGAAAATATCCAGAACGAATAATATGATTGGGGAGACATTATTTTAAAATGTTCAATTTCTATGAATAATGCAAATATATATCTTGTTTTTTTTACTTTTCAAATAAATAGATAACAATTATTTAAAGAACATTACTCCATAGTATTTATAAGCATCAATTATAATAAGTGGAAGACATTATACCACACAACTTTGTCTATCTAATGTCATCCTTAAAAGAAAGACATGTATTCGTCTACTAAGAATATTTTAAAGAGACATATCTAGATATGTCAAAAAAGAGTTTAGTTTTAATTTATATACTGAAGACAAGTTTATACCACATTTGGTTACATCGTAAAAACATCTCAATTTTTCAAAACGTCCAAATTAGCAAGAGTAAAACCAGTTCCTATTTCTAAAATCATAAATAAGTAAATCTGAAGCGTTTGATGTAAATAATTCACTCTCCTTAAAACAAATCGATTTGAAGAAAAAAAAATAAAGTAAATACTTCAGTAAACTTGATAATTATACATATTCTTATATTGCATAATATATTTAATAAATCTTTAAACGAAGAGGAAAAAATGAAAAAGCCTAGAGTTAAATTTGTTGATATATTAGAATTACAATGAAAGNCTACATATAGAAAAAATAAAAAATTTGAAATGAAATTTTTACTGAATATTGAGATTACCCACTAAGTATATTTCTTTAATGCAAGAGTTTAAAGATATACTAGCTTAAGAACAATCTCTTTGAAAAGTTGAATGATCTCAACTTTTCTTTTATGTATATAAATATACAATATTATGGAAGAGATCTTTCATTTAATATTTCGCTTCTAACTTATAACTAAAGTTGAAGAATTCTGACATCAGAAATTCTTCTTTACAAAATATTTTATATTCATTCTTCAATTCATATATATGGTGATATTCAAAGGTTTTTCTACAAGAGAAGATGATTTTTCATATTTCCTATCTCTTACTCTTCGTTTGCATAAATTATAAATTTTGTTCAAGAAGCCAAAGAAAATGAAGAAATTTACCTTCAAAGCTTTTCTTGTTAAACACTCCCTTGGACAGAGAATAAAGAATAAAGAACACTGCTTATATGTCAATCTCAAAGCTTAAATATTGTATGTCAGAAAGTATTGTGTTTATAAAATAACAGAAAAATTATCGCGTGATGAAGTACCTAATAATTAATATTATCAAACAATATTGAATAAATATTTTAACAAAGCATACAAACGATGAATATTAAATGGCAGCGATTGCAATTTTGTACATTTTGTTTGCTGTTTTTTTGTGAGAATTATGAACAAACACATTCACATGCAAAGCTAAGTGGTTCAAAACCAGTTGGAAGAGGTTTTCGTCGTTTCTAAATTAGAATTCATCGATACCATGATCAGTGCAACAAACTTCTTTCGACAACTATAAGAACAATCTCTTATAAAACAAAGAAAAACACTTTAAATTTTTTCAAGAATGTCCAAATTATTAAAAAATGTTTAAACTGAAAATCTTGATTAAAATAATACCTTATCATCTTCATTTTCAGTTAAAGTCTTATTGGTAGCGATGCGAGGTTTTCCTTTGTTAGCTATCGCAGTACTTTTTGTAAGCTTTTCTAATGCTGATGTAATACAGAAGGTGAGTCTTTGTGTTTTAAGTATTTGATTAAGTTCCACTTAATCCTACTGTAACAAAAATATTTAAAGAACTTCAATTATGAATCTCCTTACATGACTCTCAATTTAATTATATCAAATTTAAGAATATATAGACAAGAACACTTCTGTCATTAACGCGTCAACTTTGTTCTTGAACTTAAACTTTTTTTTCTTTAAGAATATTTCATTTGAAAATACTGCAAAATCAAGGTTTTCATGTCGAGGCAGAAATAATGGCTATTACGCAGATGTTGAAAGTGGCTGCCAAACATACCACTTGTGTGACGTACAGGTAAATATCGTGTAACAACTAAATTAAAATTAATTTAATATTGTTAATACTTACGATTAGGGACGTCAATTTACTTATGCATGTCCAAATGCCACATTATTCCAACAACGAATGACGATCTGCGATCATTGGTATATGGTTGATTGCTCCCAATCAGAAAAATTCTATGCATTAGATAAGCTGACTTTTAAAAAGGTGGAACAAATTTCGAAAACACGATACTCAAAGACAAATATCTCTTTATTTTATAAACCTATAATCATTTTCAGGATGATTCTCCAAAGCTAGAAAAACATTTAAATGTTCTCGATGAAACAAATTTTGAAAACTTAGAGACACAAGAGACAAGAAATGTCCCATCCCAAAATTTCAAGCAACTTATTGATCCAACAAGGGTAGCTTTTTCAGATGACATCTCAAAAACACTTAAAAGGAGTGAACGAAGAGATTCTAATATTAATATTCCAGCGACGAGTATTGAACCTCCGAAACTACCATTTCAGTTCAATCAAAAAGCAATAAGTGTTGAAAAGTCAAAAACGTCTTCGATAAATAACCAATTCATATCTCAGCAAAGAAAACCTCAGTCACAGCAACAACAATTGAGTTCTCAAACAACCAAAAAACCGGTAGTTCGCACATTTGATCCAGACAAAAATTATAAGGCTTTCGAACACATATTCCAACCGGGAAAAAAAGCAACACATAAAGATTATGACTTTTCACGCTATTTTACCAAAAGAATCAGTGGACAAGCAACACCTATACCAGTACAGCGGCGACAAGATATTGTACAACGAGGCAGTAATAATCCAGGTGAAATTTTTAAAACTCGAAATAATTCTGAAAGATTCAATCAACAAGCTGTAAAGAAGACCACGGTTACTACTCCCAAGCCTTCACCTGTAACAATTAAGACAACAACGCGTCCTGTTTATAGGACAACAATTCCAACAAGGAATCCTGTACCGGAAACTTCAACGTTCTCTAGGATATTATTACCACAAGTGAACACTGCTAAAAATATTTTTAAACAAGCAAATAAAGCTAACTTGAATGTTAAGACACCTGAACGTGGTCTTTTACCACCTAAATTGGACAATGAAAGTGAAACACAATCAAAACATAATACGCGTTCAATAGCAGATACGAGTTTTGATTTCAATAACACTCAAAGAAGAAGTGGTGAAACTAAGCAACTACTAAATGGAAGCTCGAAAAAAATAGAGTATAAGGATTTACAAAAATTATTTTCAATTCCAGCATTTGTATTTCCAATAGAGTTGAATGGCCGCGATGGCTACGAAAATGCTGAGGCCGTGAACTCATTTCAAGTTAAGATCCCTTATAAAAAAGGGAATACAGAACGTTATTATTACCTTGAACATGAACACTGCAATCCTGAGTGTCATCCTTACTTTTTCCGACCACGTAGTTGTGAACCTTGTGTTAAATTATAAAAACAACTTAATAAATTTTGATTAGAAATGTTTTGTAGTTTAAGAAAAAAGAAAAAAAACATCACCAAGTTTAAGTTGATTTACTAGACTTGCTTTTTGTAGATTAATAAAATAAATGATTCAAGTTTTTTGACAGTTTCTTTTTCAAGATATGTACATGGATGCTACAACGCAACGGAAAGAAGATACGTTATAACAAATAAATTTAAATTTCTCTTAAAAACCTTGTCACAATATTGGGTCGGAAGCTATGAACTTTGTCGTAACAATAATTATGAAATTTCATGATGAATTGGTATAGCTTAACAAACGAAAGGTCATGTTTAACCGATTAGTCGAAAGATCATTGTAAATTGGATCGGTGAACCAAAACTTTATAATATACGTCGGAGTTTCGATTTTTTTGGACCCTGAAACGTGGATCGATGAATCATTTTAGCAATTAAATCAACTCAAATGATCGCCTTAAGACTTATCTTGAAATACAAATTGAACTTTTAAAATTCTGCTAAACGGAAAAGGATATTAAAGATACCTTACAAATAGGTCTGTATCATGTTTGTATATATATTTTTTTTTTACAATAAATGGTATAAATAAAAGTCTTTGTCAATTAGATCGAAATAATTAGTAGATTAATTAGGTGATTCTTAATTCGTTCAATGATCATTTTTCTAGACCTATTAGGACATTTATTTCAGGCTTTGTCAGTGAAAAGTTCTTTGAGCTATCAATTAAGAGGATAAATGTGAAAAGTTAAATGATTCCTCCCGTTTAAAATGATAATTTGTATTCAAATATCTGTAATTAAAAAATATTTAAGCTTTCATAATATTTTGCTTACTTAATTATCATAAGCTATGTTTGCAAACTGCAAGGCCGTGTTAAATAATTCAAGAGTAAATAGTACGATTGTGTTTTCAGTTAATCAACATAAAAGTGGGTGGTTGTCAATATGAAAATGAACAAAGATTAAGAAGCAATGAGCTTTTAGATCTTTAAGCCTTCTGATGTTCTGTAATTACCTGAAATATATTTTTACATGGAAACAAAAAGATTTTTTATTTTTTTAGTTTTAAATTTGGCGAATCTTTTCAAAGACAATTTTATTTGAAACAAAATCAATCAGTTTAACCTTAACGAAATATGAGCTTTAGTATCTGTAAATTTCCAACAATTAGTTACAGTATTAGATAAATATTCTCAAGTTTCATATATCTAAATCATTCTGTTTTAGTTGATATTTTTTCAAATAATATACATTAAAATTAATTAAAAAGAAAAAATGAATTTATCAAGGTAAGCAATTACAATGAAATGATGACCATCAATACGATATATGCCAATGGATAATATAGTAAATTAAGTCATCATTTAGATTCAATTTCGACATCATCTGTAAGATTCCATACAAATTCTTATTTTCTAACATATATTTATTTATTTTTGCCTCCCAAAACCAACATGGTAACTTCAATTGTGAACGGTTTTTCTTTATAGCAACTGAAAATGCAGGATGCAATGCTAATTAAATTATTATCCTTAATGAGAGATTTTAGCAAAACCAAAACTCTTAAAACATTTGAGTAAAATTAGAATATTTTCGCTTTGACGCTTTCCTTGTTGTAAAAAAACAAAATAAATTCAAAGCGATGCCATTTAGTGGCTATGTATCTTATATTTATTAGGTATAATATTGTTAAGGATAAAACCAAATGTTTTGTTTCTTATATGTATCGATCTTTATTAATTCTTAACTTAAAAATATGCCTAATTACTCTCAAATTTTATACGAACATGTACATATACGATGATTAAACATATAAATAATAATAATTGTTAATATATGTATATGTATATATATGTATATATATTACATACGTTCATATATATATATATATGTATATATAACTTCACAAGTGAAATAAAAAAATAGTAGTTATTCTCATTTGTACTTATTTTAAAGTAATTTCTAATCCATTTTATTTTTCTCGAATTAAGTTGTAATCTGTAATCTATGTACAATATAATGGCATGACATTTATGTATCTTCTTAATGTTGCTTTGAAATATGATTTTTTTATATTAAAGAATTGTTTTCCTTTTTGTTTTGTTACAATTAGATAACAACCTGTGAGAAGAAAAGTATGACATAATCTTAATAAGAGTGAATAGTTATGCCAGAGAGAAAAAAATTAATGCTACTGTTAAGAGTTTTTTTTTATCTGAATCAAACTTTTAACTGAATTGTTATTTTATTTAGAGATATACGATTTAAGTCTACTTACATTGACTCAAAAATAATATTATATTTTAAATATTTGAAAATCGTAGATATGCTCAAGAATGTTAAGATCTTTAGACTGATTAACAAACCTTGATTTTCATTGGGGTCAATTAAATTCTATCTGTCAATATTATGAAAGTGGTATAGAACAAAAAAAACTCTTAGGTATTTTGATATCAGCAGAATCAGTGAATATTGCAAATTCATGATGTAAACATGTAAAGGATAAGAAACTTTTGTAACTTAATATTTCCTTCTAAGGATTCGTCACTCTATTCTAACAATGCCGAAACAAAATTATGTACTTTACAAGAAATAAAAGTTGTATGAGCGGCACAACATGGCGATGAACATAGAAAGAAACCGTAGTATATTTGCAATGAAATTTCATAAGACCAGCAAGATCGAGGATTATTAAGAAGAAATTCTTTTAAATTTCGAACTTATCAGGAATATTATACGATCATACAGTGTTTTCATAGAGTTTTCATGTTATTGTTACACTACTATAGAAATAAACACGTGGCAAGTATATGAAACAGTTGTGCCGCTTATATGCATATAATAACTCGTCTATCTAGAATATGTTATGACGAATACATAAAATTCTAATCTTGAAAATAATAAGCTTATGGTTTGATAACAAACATTCATTATTATAATGGTCAACATAAAATAACATCAGAGTAAAATCACATAAATTTCTAATTCAGAGAGAATTTTTTTAAATTTTTTCTTGGACAATTTAGCAATACTGATCGTCGTCTCATGTTTAATTAATAACTCAGAAAGAGTTCTTTCATTGCTTTAAATAATAGATGATGTAACAAAAATTAAGAATTCTATTTCAAAGATATTATTTGAATTTCTGTTTAACTTTGATTTCATGACCATGCTTTTAATGTGATTTTACTCTGAAAATTACATCTAAAAAATACATTTACAGTTGCTAACGTTTATTTATATAATATCTGGAAAATCTTAGCTTTCATAAACATTTTTGAATTGTGTAGTTTTTAACTTTGCTTTTCTGTTTTGGTAAAATTTCATAAAATTATATAATTTTTATTTTCACTTTATGCATGTTGTGTCTACATAGTACGATAAAAGTGGAGATCTCAGTGATTTTTGTTAGACTAGGATGGTTGTCTTTAGTAGAATTTAATTCAATTCTAGTCTTCAAAAGAACTTTAACTGATTTCTTTCTATTTATCTGTTAATTTGTACGAATACATATCTGCATACAAGTTTAGGCAATTATTTATATTCTCGTTTTGTGTTTTTCTTTCAAACTTCTCATGTCTCGCTTATAAATATCAGACATCTGCATGGGTTAATTTAGAAGATCTATGTAACTTTATTCTTCATCAAAATAGATATAAAAACGAGAAGATTTTTTATGAAAAACTTTTTAATTATTATTGTGTTGAGTTTTGGGAAGTAACATCAACGCTTATACTTAAGCAAAATGGAGCCAACAACACATATTTTGGTGACAATCATAAAACAAAACATGATAACAAATCGGCATAAAATTTGTGTTTCAGAGTATAATTGCTTTCCAAACTATAATGTTTAATTATATTATTAAAGTGACTTGTGGTATTTTTAAATGGCAAAACTTTTTCAAAGGATGCACATTACAAATTTTATGGTGAGGTGCAAAATGATGAAAAATAACATAATGGATCAAGAAAATACACAACTTGTGTTAATGAGTAACAACTCAAGGTCGAATTTTGCTTAAATACAAAATGGTATTTTACATGATTTATTCAGTGTCATTTGCTACCTCACTTGAATTCTAAATTTTTTGATTTGTAACCTTGTCATTCATATTTTTAAGTTTTATACGAAGAGTTTAGTTTCTTGTTTTCAGTTACATAAATGTTTACATACATGTTTTAAAGGAAAGTATTTTAAACTCATTACTCGTCAGAATGGAATCTGATTTATGAGATCATTGTAACATTTTCGAAGTCTGATTTTGGGTAACTGTTGTTATTTTTACAGGGCATGATGAGTTTGCACAAAGATGGTTTTAATTAGATTTTATCGTCTAGTATCTTTTTTTTTTATTTTAATTTTAATTTTGTCTTTAATCACATATTTTCTTTCATGAAAATTAAAAAAAATATGTAAAGCAACCTTCAGTATTCCATAATTGAATCCGTTAATGATATTCAACATGAAGAAAGTTTCTACTGCTTATTATTTTTAAGAAGATCAAATTATAAATCCAATTATTTAATCTCAGTTCTTTTGTATATGAACTTAATTTTAACCATAGAATGAAATCAAATTTTATCGCGAAACAAAAGCGTTGGCAGTAGAAAGTTGCAGTTATTATTAACTCGAGAACATCACTCAGTATGCATTAAGATTTAAAATACCGATGGAATATTTAAGTATTTTATGTCGTTTTTTTTGTTAAATATTTTGCGATTCCGGTTTATAGTTTTCAATCATACATATTTTCCGACAATAATTATTTAGGTTTCGTTTGTTTCGAATAGTAAAAATGTTCGAAATCGCAATATTATTTTAAGGTCAAAAATATGCACCAATAGATTTTCAGTTTAATTCACAAATTTATCATTCATGCATTTGAATTCGAATAATTTACTATAACTAGATATTTTTTTCTTTATTTACGATTTCCTAAAATTTAAGTTTTGGCAGTGAGATATTTCCAAACAAAAAAGTTTTCCTCAATTCATTTGGGTGTTTAATATGAATCAAATAACTGAGAACAGAGTTTTAATAGCTATTTTTATTTCTTAAGCTTTGCAATTCTGCATGAACATTATTTTTATTTCTTTTTCTTCCTAATTTGTAAAAAAAATGGGAGCAATTTTTCAGACTTTTTGATTAGATAACTAATAAAATAAAACATTTCAATATTATATGCGAACAATAATTGCCTTCTATTTAATTTGCCTTTTCACTGCCAAATTTTTAACTGAATCGCTTGCGAATTTCCGAATATCCATTTGCTTTCTTGACCCTTGCACAATTTTTGTTTCAACATGGCAACCTCTTGTCTTGCTTTCATATTTAATCAATTCTACCTTCGATAGTCTTTCAAAATAAATATGTCTATATAAATATTTATTCATATCTTCGATAATATCCATATTTAATTCATACTTAAATTTTAACACTTAAGAAATTGTCGCATTTCATTTGAAGGGACATGGATGTAAGAAAGAATATTGATTTGATTTTATGATTGCATTTCAAGGAGAACAAGTTTAAAAGATGCTCTTCCTCACACAATAAGTAATTTTTTTTTAATTTTTTCTGATGTTATCTACATTTTTAAAGCTATGCGTGTACAATATAAGTTTTTGTTTTTTTTGCAGTTCTACTACATCAATCTACTTCGTTAACTAAATAGTGGCTGCTATTCAAAAAGAAGAGCAAAAATATGATGGTTTGTATTGAATGAACGTTTAATTAATTTTTTAAAAGAAAATATTGAGAATTCATTTTTTAACAGTTGTTAAATATTTGCTCTTGATTCTGATCACTATTGCAAATATTTTCCGATGAAAGATTTATCTTGTACTTTCTTCACTTTTATTGCATTTAATCTCATACAAATATTCACCTTCATATTTTGTCTTTTGATTTATTTCCTGCACTGAGACAAAAAATAGTTAAATGACAATAATGCTAGGAGCATTTCAAATTCATTTTGAAAATAAGAGTTTTAATATCATTATAAAATTTCTGTTTTGCTTAATAGCATGAACTTTATTGTCACAAACTTTTTCTTGTCTCTGTGTATCATTTTCATTTTTGTCATCTTTTAATAATTTCTTTTTTCATGTAAATTTACATTGGGAATAAAGTAAATCTATGGTAATAACAGAAATAAAAGAAGATAAAATATATCTGTTACATTTAATAATAATAATAATAATGACAATATTCTAAGCATTAACTTTTAATTATTTTATTTAGTGAATCACACTGTGGCTCATATTTAATAAAATAAGGTATTCTAAATATTTTCCTGCTAAAAGGACAAAAAAATTAAAAGAAAATATAGTACCGCGAAAGAAATTAGAACTTGAGCATACCGACATCTTTTTAAAAGAAGAATCCATCGAAATAATATTAGAATCATTAGGAGAAAGTAAATCACATTTTCGCTTCATAAAAAACCAAACAATCCAAAGTTAGGTAAAGTGAACAAGTACATATGTACTATCCTTAAATACTTAAAATAACGTAAAGTGATATACATATTTAGAATTTGAAAACATTAATACCCCAGAAAAATAAATACATTAAAAATACATATTTGCATTATTTACATTGATATTAAATATGTAGTTAAGAATCAATTTGAAAATAAAAATAATAATAATAACAATAATAGTAATTAACAAATAATAGTTGACACAGAAAGCAATCAGGTAAATAAAATTTGGCTCTATTTGACATTGTTCTCAAGTAAAATATGCAATAAAGTGCTTATATGTATATATTATGTATGCATATATTTTCTTTTGGATCCTGAAGGGATTTATCACTTATGCTTTAATAAACTTGTTTCACATTCTTTTGCGATTTAATTCTGTGCTTCTTCATGATTGATTTCAAAGCAGACTTGGAACTAAATAATTTGTTTTCCCTTTTTATCTAAATATTTTAGTTGTAGTTTCAAAGAGAATTATTGAAAAGATCATTAAAGATTGCACATATTTATATTCGGTATAACTCTGCCTTCCTATTTTTGTTTTTGTATCGGTCTTATTGTAAAAGAATTGCAAAATATATTTTTATATTTATTATTTAATATTATTTATATGGGGGCAGCATTTGTTTATTTTTTAGCAACTTTCAATCACCAAAGCGGCTGCACGCTTTCTTCCACTTACATTGAGTGCACCAAGAGTCACGATTATCCATTCCGTAAACTTTTCGACATTTCTTGTTTTCGCCTCGCGTTCGCCGACCCGGGGATACTATTTGGGGACGCATTTTATTACTATTATTAGCTTGATTAATTGATTTCAATGGTGAATGCATCAGCAAATTTTGTTGGGGTGGTGGTGGTAACTGAGGTGGAGAACTATGAGATAATTTTGAAATTGATCCGTGTGATGATGGCATTGAATTATATTGCTGTATAAGAACTGGATAATTTGATGTTGAATATGTTGTTGATGGATACGGTGCATACGAAGTGGACGGTCGTGGTGATAGTTTGACATGCTTTTGTGGAGAACCCTTCAATTTGCATAAATAATCATTAAATTTTTAAATCATTTATTGAGGTAGTAATTACCAAGTTATTTTGTACCCAAGCATTATTATTAGAAACCGAATTTATTCCAGCAAAAGAAAGTGACGTCTTCATGTAAGCTTGTCCGTTATTTGATCCAGACGTCATCAATAATCCTTGACGAATATTTCCAACGATCTGCCTTTGATATTCAGGATCTTCATGTGGTGGCCGAGCCATATCACTGTGGCTTAGAGTTGGTGGCAACGGTGGAGATGAAACCATAGTATCGATGCCAAATGTTTCGGTCTCATCTTCAAGATCAGTAAAATAAAAGTCTTCGTCATCATTGCTTTTCGGCCTATTAGAAATGAATTAAAAGATATAAATACACAATTTGGTGTAATATTCAACAATTTCACTCACCCAAGATGTGCATTGCGTACATGCGATTTGACTTGTTCATCAGTTGCAAAAGTTGAACCACAATTCTTCCATGTACATTTGTAAATCTTTGTCTAGAATTATAATCGAATGAGATAAATATCGTAATGAGATATTCATTTTAAAGAGTAAAAGAAAGAGATAACTATTTAATTAAAGAGTAATTTTTTTTTGCATACAGATATCGGATCACATGTTTGTACAAAGTACGTAAGACTTTGAGAAAAATATTTGCATAAGCCCATACGAGAAATTAATTCAAAATCTGGTGAGTGACAGATGTTTGGGCAAAAATGAAACTAAATGCAATTGCTTACGTAAAAATTAATAAAAAGTAAATAGAGTCTAGTGTGTTATTAACGAGAGCTTAGTATTTGTGCTCATACGTTTCTCATTTATTTTCAGTTTTTCATATAATGAAAGTATAAAAGGATACGCTTACAAGCTCAAATCTTCAATGTAGAAGAAAGATATTTCGTGATGACCTATTTTTGAGCTTACTTTGCAAACTAAGTGTTCTTTATTTGTTGCAATGATAACTCAAATTGTAACTTGTTGTAATGAGAATATGATAATGTAACAAAATTAAAAAAAAATTGATTTGTGGTTTAGATATCTCTGTGGTTTCAAAATAAAAATTAAATAAATATTTCGATACAAAAACTGGAATTTTACATAAAACTTTAAAAGTTATGTAGCATATACATAGAAATATTGAGTTATCCTTGAACCACCAAGCCAAGCTTTTAGACCTTGGCTTTAATTTAAATCAAAATAATGAAAAGCTTCCATGTTTTCAGCAAAAATACTAACACATCGAAATATTTTACACGAAACAATAATAATAATGTGTATAAGAAATCGGAACATGAAACCGGCCGGTCGTATATTAGCATGAAATTCAATAGTAGTTGTTTTTTTTTTCTAACTAACACTGTCAAAAGCAGGGACACTTTGCACATCGCTCGCTTTGCTTTCGCTTCTTTACTTGAGTATTCATGGAATTTAGGTCAAAGTTTTTAATGTAACCGGTAACAAACTATTGTGTGCTCTACTGCCCCAATAAATGACATAATAATATTCACAGTTTATCCTTGCAAATACATTAAATTATACATGTTGAAAAATATTATGCTGCGACTAAGAAAATCGAAGATGAAAACATTACATTTCTCTTTTGCAATTCTTTTAAAAAAAATTGATGAGTTTTTAGAGATTCAATTTACTATTCATGTAAAATTTTCCTCTTCAAAGGAACAAAAACGAAAGAGTGAAAAATTCTTACATTTCATACCAAAATCGGGAAGAATGTCAATTCAAAGTCACACAAAGTCTTCTTAACATGTATGCGTATTTTTTCGTCACAAAAGTACGCAATAAAAACTCCATTTTCCCTATTGATCCTGAAAACTCCCTCTCCAAAACATTGTGAAACATTAAACACCCATCTTTTAGGGGAGCTTAATATAGAGCATGCTTTCCCGAGAAGAATTAGGTCATGGAAATGTGCTGGTATTTGTGTCCGTTACCTGATTCCATAGATTTTCCAGAAAATTTAGCCTTGTACATGTTATGTACATATAAAGATACGGCACGTGTAAGGACTCTTAGTATATATCTATATTGCTAGAAGTTATAATGAATTTTCTTTGTTAAACTTTTCGATCTATATAATTTTCTTTTTAAAATATTTTGATCATTTCATTTATCTCAGATAAATTATTATGATTTCTAAAATTTTCAATTTTTTCAGCGAAATGTTAATAATGTCATTTTTAAAATATTTAAGTTTATATCCGTAAGGACTATATTTAAATGGAATTATTAAAATGATAATAATTATAATTAGAAGAAAGGAAGTACTCTCAATAGCAGTCAAATTTAATGCTTTAAGCTTTTCAAGCGACCTTCTAGCTGGCCTCTTCTCTACATAAGAGTGTGGAATCTTATTTTGCATTTAAATCTTGTTTTTGAAGGATGACGTTAAAAACCATGAAATTTATATAAAAAACGATATTTTTGATCTATTCGAAATTTCAGTTAAAAAGGAATTTATAGAAATTGTTGCATTAACATCAGTAAGAAGATGAAGGGAGTTGAAAACGACGTATTAGAATGTTTTGAAAACGTCAAAGTAGGTTAACCTCCATCGACCCATTTAAAAGTATAAAATAACATCGCAATAATACATGTTGCCGTATCAAACATTCTCTTTATTCCACACATATAAAAAATTATCCATGCAGTTTCAACATAACTAACTCATACAATGACATTCATTTGATAGTGTATCGCCTACATCTGTTTTCGCTGTTTGTATTTAATGGTTGGTGTTTTTTGTTTACAAAGCATTGCCCTCAATGCAAAAGCGCGCAATACAAAATAGAAGTTCAAAATCATTGGATCGATACAAAGAAAAATATTAAAAGAAAACAAAAGAATAGAAAATAATGTTCTATAGATTGAAATACTTTTATTATACATAAATATTAATATGCAGCAAATCTTTGTGTAAGATGTACACAGCGTGAATGAGAAAATAAATGAAATATTTCTTCGTGTATCAATTTTTTTTTTCTTTTTCTTTTTGCTAAGGGGTGAAAGTAAAATCAAAAATATTTCCACTTGGGTTAAACATAAATTGCGTATTATTCCAAAACAATATTAAACTACTACGCACAAGAAGGAAATATGTTTGAGTGGGTGTAGAAGCATATCGTTTTTTTCTGGTACAAAATATATTTCAGACATTTTACGATGACGTCGTATGAATGAAACTGCCGTCATGAATTTTTCTTGGAATTGTTTTGCTATAGATACGTATTGTTGATTCTTCAGTTAATAAAAAAATTTCCGTCAAAACAAATTAATTAAAAGTGTGTGCGAGTTGCTTTTATAGAAAACAACCTGAAGTGTTGCTTTGTAAATTCTAGAAGCCATTGTGCTTAACTTTCATTACGTTTTGTTTGAGAGGCTCGAGGCATTTTGTTTTAAGAAAAACCTGTCAACATGATAATACGTCATCATCTCAAGGGCTTTGTCGTGTTAATTTTATCCAAACACATGTGTCTAATACGTTTTTATTTATTTTGTATTCACTTTTACTGAGCCTAAATATTTTTTAAATTTCGTCCAAAGTTTTTGATGCAATTCTCAAATATTTCTTTGTTTTTTCTTTGAAGTTTACTACGGTTTAGTATAATAATTTTTACTCGCTATGACTTCAGACATTGTGTGGATAAATACAACCGCGGGTTTCAATTGAGTTTTTATTAAATTATGCGAATTTAATTTTATACAATGTCACCAAGTGCTGCCTACAGAATTCTTCATTTACGTCTGTCCTTTTCTCTAATTGTCCTTTCTTACTCGTGCCGTTCACTTACACGCTTATATATATTTTCTGATGAACAATAACCTTGAATTTACATTAGTATAGTAGTTGCTAGTTGCAAACTAAAATAAACATCGGTATTTACTGCTTGCAAATGTAAAAACATGAAAAAATATGTGAAATAAAATTAATAAAGTGATGAACTTCTCAAGAAACTAATTACATGTAAGAATTTTTAAAATTCACCGGAATTGTTATTAAAATTAAGTTATAAAACTCGAATCGAATAGTCCATCTAACATAAGAATGTACGACTATGCTAACATAGAATTATTTCATGGCTTTTATCTCCTACTTATTGAAGGAAATAATAAAAGTAACATCAAGAAGTCAATAATATAAATAAACTTTTTGTTTCGTCAACGTTTACAAACTTAATTTATAATCGGAAAAAAACGCAAAGTCCCACCTTGCCGTGTTCCATTCAAGGCCACGCGCCGACTCTATCAGCTTTTTTAAAATAAATCAAGCTTGAAAAACTTCATACCTCAGTTTGGTTTCAGACTGATTCTTACATAAAAATATCTTTCGTAAAATAAATTAATTGTTTCTATCAATTGCAATATATGAAGTAAATTATTCAACAAATGACTACATGATAATCTATCTAAATTTTATGTTAGCTTTTCCACATTGTTTATTATTTAGGTAGACATTGAAAAGTTTTCGAAGTTTCCAGCTGTTATAAAGCTACATTCGCATTCTGAAAATATCACACGCTTCATTTAAAACATAAAAAAATTCAGGGAAAAAGCAAGAAACTTTACTGTAAATTAGCGGCACGTGTAGCAAAACTCAATGACAGAATGTACAACTACAAAAAAAAAGCATTCATCGCGCAAGCGACTTTAAATATTCCTATCTCATTTCCTCGCGCTTGCAATTGCAGTTTGCACTTTTGTTATTATTTTTATTAGGTATTATTAGTTATTTTTTTAACATTTTTATAGAATGCAATTAAATTTTATTTTGGCTCTTGACAGGTAAAGTCTAAGATCTGTGGGTAGTATTTTTAGTACTTAGCTAAGTTGAAAGCCATATTGTAGGTGTTACAAATCAATATTCTAAATATTTTATTTTATAAACATTAGTTCTTTGTTAAATCATATAGAATGAATTGCTTTCGGATGATTTGAGATCATATGTTTTAAACACATGTTGTTGCTTAAATCTTTTAAAACTAATTTATATTACAAATAAAGTTATTAAAAAATCTTGATAATAAAAAGCCAGAAATGAATTAGCTCAAAGAATTTTCTTTAATATTTCTAGCTCGCTCTAAAAAATTGCTTGCCAAGGTTTTGAGATGAAGATTGAAACCTTGAAAAACAAACACAGTCGACAGCCAGCATTGATCGAATGAAGTACGAGCCGGATTTAGTACAACACTTAGGGATTCTCTTTCTTAATCATTTTGATATTTAAATTATACTGAACATACAGCTTTTGAAAAATTTAATTTCATGTCGATGAAGGAGAAACAAAGAAATATTAAAATGGATAGCTTACTCGTCTTTTTCGTAACATCTCTTCGCCATAATCCATGACGATGCCTTCGTCTGAGGTTGACAACGAGGTTGTGCGCTGATTTCGTCGGGCTTGGTCAACACTCATGTTATGTTGATTTATTTGAAGTTTATGATTTTGTTTAATGATGTATTTCTTATCACTGCTGCTAGCACTACTGCTGCTAACATTTCCGTCATCACTTAAGTGCGGAGATGATGAACCACTACTTGATTGAATACTGTCCCCAGGACTTGTTCCTAGCAAAGTGCCTTCAAAGGCTATAAAATGATATTTTTGTTATAAAAATTTGAATTTCTGTAAATTTATGTGACTCCGACTGATAGTATAAGTTGAGTCCAAAAACAATGAAAGTTCAAACTTGTTTTTTTTTTAAAAACGTGAACAGTTGAAGCTTACCTTGACGTGGTGAATTAGGTGAACATGAAAGACTCATCAAAACAAGAGCAGCATTGCATTCGTCCATTTCATCGCTATCCAGCATGTAGTAACGTTCATCCAAACTGAAAGAGGTTCGACGTTTGCGTGATCTGTAAAATTTCAGGTTCATTAGAATGAAATTGCTTACATTTCAATATAAAAATAATCTTGTAATTCTGGTATTTGTAAATCGTATTTGAGTGTTTGAATATTATAAAGTCCCAAAAGCTACAAAACTTTTAACTGTGAGCCTCAAAAGTTTTGCATGCATCAGAGTTTATTCACTTTTGTGAGCGGCGACACGTAAAACAGTTGAAATTACAAAGAAGTTCGATGACTTGAAACGTCATCGGGCTCATGACTCGATTTCAGAGTTCAAAGAAATTCTTTTTATTTTTTCGGAAGTTAACGTCATCCGATTATTCTAGGAATTTTTTCATCAGATGATTCTTAAAATATTTCATCATTGCCTATCTTCTTCTTCTATCTCTCCTTCTTTTCTCATACTCTATCGTTTGATTTCAGGGTTGCGATAGACTACTTAATTCAAAGCCGCCATTTTATATTTTCTGTGTTTTTTTTTCTTTTTATTTAACTTTTCTTGATAATTCAAAATGTCTAGAAAAATGTTACGAAGTTTTGATAAGACTTCTAGATAGATGAATGACGTGTCAATTCTGTTTGGGTTTTTTTTTTGCACAATCTAGCTGATTCTCCTACACTTTGTTCGTTTAAATTGTTGTCGAAGGTCATGATGTTCAAACCGGTCGATGTGTATTCGTGTGCACAAATTTCGCCGATTTTATTGCGCTCGTGTATTCATTTCATTCCCTTTTCAGTTGGCTTGCTATGGCGTCATACAATGTTTCTAGATTTTTTTTTTCGCTTGGTTTCAAATGGCCTTCAATTGTCCACTTACTTTTTCAAAAACCATTCTACGCTTGTTCATCCCAAGGCTAAATATTTACAAGATGAATTCTGTATTTCATGCAGCCAAACTGTTTTTCAGGAGCGCACAGGTGTTATCAAAATGTTGATACACTTTGTAGAGTTCATCAAACGTCTGATGAACTCGAAGCATTGTTAATTTTTTATAAGCTTACGTATGAAAAACAAAGTTTGCGAAGACATCAGTTTACATTCACTCACCCGTTCTGTGTAAATTGTATTGGAACATCTATACTTTGAGATGATGTACGACGGCGGTCACCGGCCATGTCTGCTAAACGTGCAAAGTCCGTGCTACGCTCCTGATCGGCCAAACGAGGTGAACGTCGCGATTCTGAGAGACGAACTTCTTCCAGTTTTTTCACCAACTCAAAATTTGCCTGAAAATAAATTGGAAGCATAAAAATATTTAGAGGGTCTTATAAGGTGCAATTGCTTGAGTAAATTTTTTTTTATTTTGAAATGATGAATCATATTGTATACTCGGTTTTATTTTACTGATTCATATTTTTGTGTTATTGCATTCAAACGAATCTTTTGTTATTCTTTATCTCGAATTTTGCCGGTAATTTGAAACATACAGTCTTTGCATTAGATAATGTAAATGATTCAGAAAACAAAATAAATTTTGATAGTGACTAATTCGAAAAATTTCAAAAGTAAATTTGCAAACACAAAGCTTCAACGGCAAATCATGACCTAGGGCATTCGAATAAAAATTGCACCATTTCTATATTGCTAACACTGTGATCTCTAGTCTTGATTGCATAAACATAAAAAAATAGTTTTCGTTCGTATTTCTGTTTCTAAGCGATTCATTAATGGTAATTATAATCTTTGGAAGGCAGTAACGGTGTGAGTTGACTTATGTTCATAACATTAAAGAATTATTGATCAAAAATTCGAATAAATTGAATTAATTTGTTTTTAAGAATTATTTTTATTTTTTTCGATAATAAAATAATGTTTTATAATTTATCTAAATACAAGCCAAGATATTTGATATTTCTTGCTAAAATTGTTTAAGAAAGCTTTTCAGGTTCATCCCATTGATTTAAATAATAAATATATATTTGAATATGTATAAAAGCTCGTCGATCAAAGGCTTATCAGTTATTGGAACTGTCCTTATGATGACATCCGCTATCTAAATAAATCAATATTTTGTGCAAAATTATACCCAAAAGTTTTTTGTTTTGTCTTCTGCTTTCAATCGAACTCAAACGATTTGATTTAAGAAAATAACTTTTTGCTTTTCCTTTCAAACCTCTTTCGTCTTATATTGGTTTACAGCTGTAGTGAGTTTTTACATCAACTTTTCTTGTTGCGAAATCATGTTCGTCGTAGATAAGTTTTTTCTTTATTAGATTATTTATTCCATGAAACAGTTACTTTTCCATAAATATCTATGTTGCTAATCACACTCAAAACATTGTAAGTAATATGAACTCAAAAGAAAAAAGAAAAGAAAATAGAAACAAAGGAGAAAGTTAATTTCATTTCTCTTTTACATTTGTATATTTTAAAGTGTGTGTTTTCGCTTTGTTGCTGATTGTGTTTATAGTAAAGTAGTTCTTTACACTCGAGATTTCTCAATATTATTTACAAATTAATAGTAAAAATCACCTGTTTCACTGACTATTTCTTCTTCCTAAAAATTATTTTTAATCAACTGATTATTTGGAACGATTTTTCCTTAAGAAATCTTTTTCTTATGTTTCTATGTATTAAGTATTTTTGACTGAATCGTTTCGTTTATTTTTAAAAATTTTTAAGCAAAAATTCACAATATTTTACAGGCAAACAAGAGTGAGAGTCTCTTTCACCAATCATATTGAGCATTCCACTTTTCATGAACAGAAATATTGCCTAAGTTTTCGGTATCTTATGTATATGTATAATGCATAACAAGTTTTTTGTTAACTTTCCACTGGTTTTCATGATGCTAGCAAAATAAACATACACAGATATTTTTTATTTGAAATTTAGGATAAAATTTTGATCTAAAATTAAAGTAACTAATTCTGAAATTTAATTTTATCATCAATTTCGTTTGTTAAATTACTAAAAAAAAGTTTTTTATTGTTCATGTGGTTTTCAAAAAAAAAAAAAAGAAAAAGTTACAAAATCAAATTCTAACTTTTTTCGAATTATGTAGATATTATGTTGAAAACAATGACATGCCTCTTTCTTTAAATGTAGTAAAAACGAATTGGTGATCAAGAGGGACACTGGAAATATTTTCGTCACAATATCAAATCGTCTTAAAAGTGTTAAATTACGTATTGTATTAAAAGTTTTCGTAAATTTACACAAATATTATGTCAAAGAGATATTTAAAATATATCATTTCACGAGACAAAGGATTTAAAAATTCAGTATGGGTGTATTTATATGTTTTGATTTCCGCTTGCTGTTCTTTAAGTTTTTTTTCTATCTTTAAAGGAAGTGTTATTTCAAGATATCATTTGCAAAGAAAAAGATAACAAAAACTACACTGATGAGGTATTTTATTATTTCAAAATTTTTTAGCTGTAGATTTCGAATGCATTTTATTGTCTTAATATTTATTTAATTAGGTACAATAAACGTGAAAAGTATATAATTGCACACTCAAATGAAGAATTAAAACATGTTTCCAATACGACTACGGCTATAATACATCCAACCAAGTCATATGGTTATTTGTTACATGTAAAAGCTAATTAAAATAATAGAAAAAAAATTTCTGTTCCATTCAAATAAGAGTGTAGTTGTAATTTACAATCTTACGTAAAGCCTCACTCAGAAATTCACGGAAATAATAGTTAGGTGAACAGTGAAGGCTTTTTTGCGAAATAAAAAGATTATAATTTTACAATTATAATTTCTTTACGGTTTTATGTAGAGTGAATCATCTTATTGCTCACAAGCTTATTGCAGTGTTATAAAAGAAAACTTCTTTTAAACTTATAACGGCAAAAGGGCAAAATCATCATCGCTACCGGCTGCGATATTGTATAAGACTACCGCTTAATACCTACACATAAGAAATAATAAAAAAATGTTTGTTTGTGTTTTACTATATCTTCAAGCTTTCACTCGGAAAACTTTAGATTCAAAATAAATTTAGAAACTCTTATTTTACATGTCTAGATGAGTAGTAATTGTTTCATAACATTTTTTTATTTTAAATTTAACATTTCGTTGATGAAAAAAAAGGAGATGTAACCTGAAATAATTGAACTATTCATCATCATCATCAGGTGATAGACAGGAACTAAATAGACTGTTTAGAGCAGTCGGGAGGCAATAGACATTTGTGGGAAATGACAATGACAACACTTTCCAATCTCAAAGGAAATTGGGTTGTGCTGGCTAGTAACTGCCTTGAAACTGTCTAACTTCTTAATAAATAAAATACGGATAAGTGAACTATTAAATATTTTAAAAGTATTTAGATAATGACGATATTTCTTAGCCATTACTTATATTGATGACCACCTGGTTAACCGTTATTTCAACTTATAAGTTTTATTCTGAGAGATTCTTTTCCTATATCTGAATGCTTAATTTACTTCTGTTTTATTTCAGATACTATAAAAAGAAAACCATGTTTAATTTTATGTCCTGATTACGTGGAGATTGCGTTTTACATATATGCAAAATTGTTTCAACACTTGGACCAAGTAAATGTGTTAGCAGATATTTTTATTATTTAAGTTAATCTTAAAAAGAAATGTTTATTATAAGAACTTAAAAAACTGTCTCATCAATTATAAAATAAAAACATTGTCATATTAAAAAAATTGATCATCATAAAATTAACAGCAATTTATCGATTGAGACTTCGTTGAAACAAAGAGTATGCGGAACGATTCTTTTTTCTCTATTTTGGTTTGTGGTTTTATGAAAAAGGAAACGAAATTTTATATTCATATGTGGTTTGAGTTCTATTAAATTTAACTTTTGAAAATCTTTAACATAATTTTCATTGGTAAATATTTAAAAATGACAATTGACTTTGAATTTCTGAAAAATAAAATAAAGTTGGAATAATTTATTGCAAGCCAATTTTGAGCCTCGAAGAAAATTGTTGAATTAATGCAACCTGATTATTCAATTATTATCGCCAAAGTAAGGTTATTTCGAGTAGTTTAAATAAATAGTGAAATCAAAATACCATGAAACATTTAAAACTCTGATCAACAGAAAGTAAGTAGCCAGACCTTTCTAATAACCCAAGCCTGTTAAAATTATTTTATATAACCAGAGTTTCTTGAAAATCAACTGATTTATAACAAATTTTAATTGTATTCTTTTTTGAAAATTCGTAAAACAGCAAATTTTAGGTGGGAAACCAGAGTTGGGATTTGACTGACTGACTGACAGACATTGACTTGTCAGTCTGTCAGTCAAACGACTTGAGCGGAACATTTATATGAACGTTTCCCAACAAACGAATATTTTTGTTCGCGATTTTGACTGACTGACTGACTGACTGACAGACATTGACATGTCAGTCAGTCAGTCAATCGAGTTGAACGGAACATTTGCCCATCTCTGTGGGAAACTCATTGAAATCACTGTGCAGTCGTCAGAAAAGCAGGCAAATAATTATAAAGGAATACACCAAGTGTATGCAAGTTATCGAAAATAGAAAATGTAAGTAGGATTGCATTTTTTGGCGTAACCTACATGCCGATCGTGCCCCAATTTGAAGTATTTCATTTCGTAGCATTTTGTTTGTGTGCATAGTTGCATAATTTTCAGTGACTATAGTTACCTTGTACCACTTTTAAACCATTTGAGTGTTGAATTTTCTTGGGTTAAGTTTTCCTTTCAATATATTTTTTTTGCAAAAGTTATATATTTACAAATTCATTACATCATTTCTCACAGCATAACCAACTTCATACATTAAAATATAAATCACAATCAAAATATTTAATTGAGATCTTCTGTCTCACTAAAATGTTTGAATGATTTACCCTATTTTATTTTACGCACTATTTTTTGTCGTTACTACTTTCAAACTTGAGTACAAGGTTGTACGTTAGACAAAAATTTTATTGTGCAATGTTGCCAAATTTCCATTTGGAATTTTTGCTTTTTTTAAAATTGTTGTATTTGTGAATACATAACATCAAATAATTTTTAAATAAAAAAACTTTGAAACCAAACAAGTATCTGTTCGCATAGGCGCAAGCGTTAAATACACAATACATGGCAAAAATGACGACACATGATGTTTACGTTTTTTCTACGCAAGGTTTTGCTCAAAACAAAAATTGAGTTTGTAAAGAATAACGGGGAAGTGGGAACAGGCTTGAAATATAAGCTTCTTCAGATTTTTCCTCCAATTAAAAGCTTTAATTTTATGAATTATTTGATTTTTCAAGTTCTACATTTACTTATTTAAATGAAAATATTTGAAACGCCAGGAGTGTTGGTTGATTCATCAAAAACAAGTTTGATATAAAATTTTCGAAAATTAATCTTAATTTCAGTTATTTTTAATTCACTATAACTATGACGATATGGCCTTTAAAATAAAAGCTTTTAAATGCAGCTTTTATAACCGGCCTTTCATCCTTCGGCGATTACAACCTGTTTTCGTCAAATTACATTCAAACTATGTCGTATGAAATAATAATAAGAAGTAGATTTTTGCAAATTTATGAAAAGAAATTTAAAAATAGATCAAGTCTGATTTTCTTCGTCACTGTTACCGAATGCGTCCCACGTCAACTCACTCACACTGCATTCATATTGCTCCAAAGTGAGGAAGGTAATGTCATTGAAGCTGTATTAAAAAAATACGAATGAGAGTGTGTTACTGTTCGCTTCTGAAGGAAAACAAAACAGCCTTGCGTGCGGGAGATGAACAAAGTTAATTGCGTCATTTGGCGTGTGTGTGCTTACACATTTTATTTTCATCAGTTGATTTCTTTTATTCACAACCCATTCGCATGATTATCATAAAAAAAACGCGGCGATTGAGATGAGATTCCCGGCACTTCCGCGTTTTTTTTTCGATTCATTTTGTTTTCTTTGTTCTCATAAAACACATGAAAAGTTAGTAAACTTTATTTCTGCCTATACTTGTATGAGTTGTACTTATGATAGTGTGCGACTACCTATACTTGTTACATGAGTGTGTCAGATTCAAGGAAAAACCATACTTTTAAGCATTCCGTTTTTCTTCTTTCGTTTTGCGTAATAATGCTTATATGTTCATTGGAAGAGCTTTTAGAGCTAGTTTCGTCACACACTTATTATTTTTTCTTTCAAGGCAAGGTGACACACGAACCGAATATTGTTTTTAAATACAAAGTTTTTTGATAGTAATCGAAAACATTAAATTAGAAAAATTATAGAAAAAAGTTAAATTAATTAGAAAAATATCTCACTTCATTAGCAGCTCCTTGTATCTGAATGTTAACTTCGTCTACTTGAACGTTATGCTCAATAACGACTCCACTAATTTCACGACCGTTATGGGTGATGTAAACTTTTTGACCTGGCTTTAGTTTAACATCGATTATGCTTCCGAAACCATCACCAATTAACTCCGAGCAACTAAATTCATAAATTCCTCGACGTTGCGAACCAAAAACCGGATTTGAATCAAAACGTACTGAATACCGAGTATTGGGTGTAAGATTTATGCAGTTCTGATTGTCCTTGGGTGAGGCCGGTGTTTTAACTGCGTGTATGCGACCCGGATAATAAAATCCGTCTTCGGCAAGAGCACAAACGCGCATTCCAATGATGGATCTCTTGGCCAGTCGTTTGCCGGTTGACATTTTATTTAAGAAATATTTTTTCATTTAAGAGATGATTTTTCTCTTCAGAGACAAATATTTGACTTTAAAGTATTGTTTTATTCTATACTTTACAGAATGTAGTTTTTCTAAGTCTTTTAAAAGTTTTTTTGTTTTTCAAGCAAAATAGATTTTTTTTTAAAACAAATACATATATTTTTACCAAACTACAATAATGTTTTTTCCTTCGAAATTTTTGAATGCGTGAAATTTTCTTGCAACACTTTTATTTATTTCACTTTCAACTTCGTCACTATGATCAGTTCGACAGTCACTTTCACAATAATTCACAAACTTTTTAATAATAAAAGAGAACATAGTTTCTTCAAAATGGTTAATGTTTTTAATAAATAATATTCAAATGAATAATTTTTTCGAATTTCCAATTTTTTACAATTCTATTTTTTAGAATAATCTCAATGAAAAATTCGATTTAAAAACTTATAAACATTTACTTTTCGGCTGAAAGTAGGAAAAATATTGGAAAAGTGAGAGCTTCTTACAAGATATATATTTTTCTTTCTTTATGAGAAATTCTTTGATAATATTTCTCTATTTTTCTTGTCTCAGCTGTTGTAAAATGTGTGTAACACTTTCGAAACGAAAACTTAAACTGTGCTTTGATCGCCTCGATAACTGTGAATGAAGAGAAAATAAAAAATAAATTGAAAAACATGTAGTAAAACAATAATATTTTGAAACATTCACACATAAAAGATTCAAAACATTAACACTACTTCGAAAACACCCGGCTCAGTGTTTATTTATTACTTCTTTACTAACACTTGGATTGTTGATTTTCTATATTATAAATAATAGCTGCATTCATACATGCATAGTACTTACAGCAGATTGTTTTGAATTTAATTCGTAAGCGATGCAAAAAGCAATTCAGAAACATTTCAAAATGTAGAAATACCACTTATACTACCATAGCATCATATGTGACGCCGTTATAACTTCACGAATATAATAAAAAATCAGCTGATATTTTTTAAATACTGCGCATAACTTCAAAAACACAAAGAATCGTACAAAATTTCTATTTTATAGTTTAAATTAAATACATTAAAACATTTAAAATTAATTTATGAATATAAAATTAAGAATTGACAAGAAATTCTGTACTTTTTGAGTAATAAAAGTTTCACACAATTATGAAAGATGTCGTCGTTGAAAATCCCACAGCGAAATAAGTAGGAATATGTAGAAAACAGGTCTTTAGATTTTAAGACTGTTGCATGATGCACATTAAGATATTTAATTTGCAGATAGATTTGTGCATAGTTGACAGGAATAAATATTTTCGTTTTTTTTTAAACAGAAAATATTTGTTTTGATTTTTTTTTGATAAAACATTTACCATTTGCAAAGTAATAAAAATAATCACCTATATATGTTGGTACTAAGTTTTGAGAGTATTTTTGAAATTGCTGGGTTAGGGGTCTTCGCTTAAAATCGGAAATTTGAATCTTTATTTTCTTTGATGCTTTCAATTACCTACACTATTCAAATCATTTTTAAATGCTCGATCGGTTCTAAAATGATTTGAGTTTGTTTTATTTAAATTATTGAATCATAAAGTTAATCAAAATCAATATGAAGATAATTTTTCAAAAGTATTTACATATGTAAGATTAAGACTTATTTGGTCATTTTTTTTCTACTGTTTTCTTATTAATCATTTGATAATTTACTGAATGATTCGTATTATAATTATAGTAAATATTTTCTAATGAAAGCTTGATTTGGGTAAGCTGTTGGACTTCTTCAATTGCAGTAATTAACGCGGTGCAGCATATATATACTTATTTAAATTAATAATATACATGAGATTATTTCATATAATTAAAAGTTAATTCTTTCAACTATAAGGTTGTTACCCATTGGATTCACTGTAATCAGAATAAATCAAAGTTAGTTTTTTATAGCAGTCGGTGTTCTTGATAAAGAAATGATACAAAATAAGTCAGCTCCATCTTCAATAAATTTATTAAATATCACATAAATGAACATACCTACGTATGTAGTGACATCTTGCGAAAGAGAAAATTATTTATTACATTCATGGAAAAGTAGAGTGCCAAAATTTGAATAAATTTTCTATAGCTCATGTTTAAAGAATTTCGTCTGTGAAGATATTTAGATAACAAACTTAGTTTTCATGCACAAATCAGCAAGTCTTGTTTGTGTAAGCTACATTCGAAATTATTTTATTGATCCTTAACTGTTCAAAATGGCACAATATTAGGTATTACTGATTCAGAGAAAACTAATAAGTTTATATGTATTTCTTAAAAATTTTAAGTAAAATTTTGGACAATATTATATCCACATTTAAGTAGGTAAAATAAACTTAAATACCTAATTTCTTTCCAAATATTTCTTGATAATTTATGATCTCTCATTTCAATCATTCTTGCTTTTATACTCTTACGGTTCTGTTTCCTAATTTCACGTATTTTTCCTTCGAAGAAAATGTTCGTTTAATGACTATCTTTAAACGTTTGTTGATAATGTTTTTAATGTTGAACTTTATGAATTACAGTGAGAATTTCAATATACATAGATAAGGAATTATCTAAAATCCCAATCAATAGTGTTAAATATGACTGGACATTGTAATGATTTTTCTGCTAAGGCAAATTCATCTTTTATACTTCATATAACAGAAACAATGTTGAAATGTTTCATTTGTGTGATTCATCAAAATATTATCATATCTTATTTACCATATTATTTACCTCTTATTAGATCGTATAAATCATGTAAACATGATAAAGTATTAAAAATACTTTTTGTTCAAGTAAAACATTGGCATCATTAATGTTTGTTTTCATACGATATGCAAATATAGATTTTATGAAACTATCAATTTTTATAATTACTTAATGCTGCCTAGGTAAAACGGCAAGAACAAACCAGTAACTTGCTTACTATATACATTCGTTGGAATCAATACATTTTCCGTTGGCATTTCCTGCGTTATATGAGAGTTGGAAATTCTTTTCTCTGATTGGTTGAGAGCGAAAATCTACTAGCAACCTCCCACATCAATTCAAAAAAAAAATTGTAGCAACTAATAGTTAAAATAATAAAGCTCTTTGTAGATCAACCTTATGAAATTACATAAATATGAACAACTCATTTATTATAAAGATTTTTTTCTTATAATTGTCACGTCTCTGAAAATTATTCAAAATGTTAACCTTATAGTTTTCAAAGCTTGTCAACATTCTCATTAAAATAGAATCGTCGACAACAAGATGCAAGCAAAAGATATGATGGAGAGGACAAATTTGAAGTATTTTGTTTGTCAGTCAGTGATTTGAAATTTTTGCGCATGGTTTTGGATGCTTTTGATTGTGTTTTATGCTTATACAAAGTCATGAAATCATTTTTCCCATTATCCTTTCACCAAATTCAACCCTAATGATGGTACGAGATGATGCGTGATAGCTATTTTTCATATAATATTTTTTTAACGCTTGCTGGTGGTTTAACAGACGATTTTCAGATATCAAACTGTGAAGATCGCTAAGTGAATTAGAGCAAAAATAAAACAAGATAAAATAAAATGACGATGGAGTTCAAGGAAAGAACACTTAATTATTTGCCAACAACTACTAATGCGGGACCAAATATTAAGACTCCATTTGGAATTGAGGATATTTTATATATCAGTGATAAACGGTTACAAAATGTGAATAAAAATCATTTAAGTAATGAGAAAAACTGTTCAAAAAAATCTATAATGAACGATGAAACTGAAGAATTTAAAAAAATTTTATCTAGTGAGAGGTGGGAAAAATATATTGATAAGAGTGAAGAAACTTTTGCAAAAAGAAGATGTTTGAATTGAAAGATTTTGATTGAAAACAGTTTTTGCGTGAATTTAATAAATTCTTTATTTAAAATTTTAAACTTAAAAGTATATTTTCTAATTGGTGATACAAAACTTAACTTTTATTTATGTGTTTTGGAAATATATTTATTTTTTGTAAATTTAAGAAGAAATAGGTTTCATTGTTACTCAATACAAATATTTATATTTTATTAATTGAAAATTGCTAGGTAGAATTTTAATAACTAGTATAAATATGTACTAAAAAATATGACTTTCGTTCATAAATATTGTCCTTTGAAAATACGAACTGGAGAAGATTCTTAAAGATTGAGGTACATAAATATTTTAATTTTGAATCTCTAGAACACAGAAAACATTTGAAAACAAGCAACCACATTACAACAATAATCAATATTTACCATCGGTGAGTCTTTCATCAAACCCTTCAAGTAGCTCGGGTGCTCCAATGATGTACGCTAGTAGTCCATATACTGATCCGAATTATCTTCAAATGGCAATCGGTGCTTACCTTACACCATCTGCATCAGGCTATAAATGTGTCGATCCGTACTTTTTGTCCCAAGGTATAATTAAATCAAACACTTTTCGCTATAAATGATTTAAGTATTTATTTTTTAATCATGAAACTTTTAATTGTCAATTATTAATTTGATTAATTTTGGCATATAAAATTATCATATATGCAGAAACAGAGAAAGAAGTCAGAAAAAATAATTGATGTGTTATATTTTACAGCAGGAATATTTTCTGGATTTTCCAGTAATGGTTGTCATGTGCCAGAAATTCTTGGAATTGGAATAGGAATGAGTGCTTTACGGCACTGTCGAAGAAGAAAAGCCAGAACAGTTTTCAGTGATCCGCAACTAACTGGACTTGAAAAGCGTTTTGAAGCCCAGAGGTGACTCTATTGCTTGAAAGAAAATGTTAATTTCATTAAAAAAAATTGTGAAATATGCTTCTTAGATATCTGTCAACACCCGAACGAGTTGAACTTGCTTCAGCGTTAGGTTTATCGGAGACACAAGTAAAGACATGGTTTCAAGTAAATACGGCTTTTTACTTCTTTCTTGAAAATTTTTCATTTATTAGATAACAAATAATTATATTTTTCACAGAATCGTAGAATGAAGCATAAGAAGCAACTTCGAAGGAAAGATGTAATGAACACAAATAATAGCAATTTGAAAGGTGAGGCGCACTTGAAATATTCAAATATCTTGAAGAAAATTGATTCTTGTACCTCACCCCATAATCATTTTTAAAGATATAGATGGAGGATCCAACGCAAGCGCTCAACGTATAAACCAGACGCCATTAGAAAAATCGTCATTTACTGCTTACAAGCCCAGCACAAATGGAACTTCAGTCAACTCGAATTGTATTGTTCAGACTTATCCCGTTAACTCGAATTTAATGAAAAACTCCTGCAGTGGCAGTGAGAGGGATTCTATGAGTGAAAGGTCCGAGGATGAAAGCGACGTAGATATTGTTGGTGATGGAACGCTTTGTTGAAATTTAATTAAAGTCCAACTCTTGTAAATATAGATTGAAATTTTTCGCGTTAAAATTTAACTACAATAAGAAAAATCAAAGTTGATTTCAAAAATAAAAATTTTCACGATATTAAATATACAAAAAAAAATTGTTTTTTTATTCTAATCCTATTGGTATGTAAAAGTTCGAAAGTAAAATTCTATTTTCAAGAAAGTAATCTGCTCGTCAATAGAGTATTATAAAAGAAATCAGAAGTAAATTGACGGAATAAACTTTCCTAATGATGCTACTCTTTGTTAATTTATTTTTGGATACAAGTCAAAAATCCCTCGATAACTTCGTTGATTAGATCGCATCACAAAATTATCCTTCTTCTTATTGGACTGTAGATTGGAATCACGTGACTAAAATTATTTACTACGCCCACACACTTTCTTTGTATGAAAACTGGTATATTTAATAATGTTATTATTAACTCTATAAAATCTCATTATTCGATTGAATTGAATCAAATGAGCGTGCAAGTCAAACTGTTTCATTCGCACAAGTGGGAAGTCGAAGTGCTATTTGTTATCACAATAACAAATCTTGTCGCAGCTGGAAGGGGATGTTTTGTGAAAATTAAAAGGTAGGATGTCAGCAATGATTTTATCTCACAGTTATTACTAACGAACCTTTGATTTCTTGGTTTAATTGTTCCATTATTAAATAAAGTTTCCATGGCTGTGTTTTTCATCCTTGATGCTGATTTAATTTTGATATTTTTAAAAGAGAAATTTGATTACTTCTCTTATTATTAACCTTAGATAATATTGGAAGCCGTTTCTTTTCTTTAAAGTAGCTATTTGGATGTGCACATGAGTATTTTATGTAGTTTAAAAGGTAAGATTTGACTGATTTAAAACATGTAGTGCAAGAGATTTATAAATAAGAGAAAACCTAAATTAGAATAAACGAAAAGTTTGGAACATTTATTACATGTTTTAAACGCCTTTTTAACAGACACGTGTCATGGAAGTTAAACATTATTGGGAACTTGATTGGGAACATAATGTTACATGGTGGTTGATTAAGCAACAAACAATAATTTTTCGGTCACATCAGACAATAAGTTTTTTTCATCTTTTTTATGTCGCCCTTTCGGCAAATTTTTCTCTTTCTTTGATAATTCAATTACATCCGAAGATGATTGAATTACCCCTCTCAACAAGAGGTTTTAACCTTAAAACGAAGGAAGTCGGAAAAATTTTTTTTACAAGAGTATCGACAACGTGTTAAAAAACAATAAGCGTATGTTTGCTTGAAAACACATGTGAAAGATTGACAAAATATCTAATGATTAAAATTATTTCAAATAACTAACGCAAATCCGTACTTATAGACATTAAATATATTTTTTTAAGAAAAACTTCTGTTACTAAGTTGCAAATATCTAATTTCTAATTGGCTTTAATGATTCCTTGTTATCTGAAATACTTTTGTTATTAAAGAATATATTCTCTTTTTTCGGTCAATTTGCGGGGATTAAATGATATGCGTCAATGTAATTGACTTAATGACAACAATTGCTAAATCTGTGTGCACAATGTTGAACTTCTCAAATGACTGACGAAAAGTGATTGAGCCTTTTTCACTAATCTCAACATATACAATAAAAAAAAAAATAAGCAATAAAGACACATTAATTTTTAATACATTTTAAGTCACGTGTCAAATAAATTGAATGAGATTTCATTTAGTATGATTTTGGTTTCCCTTTTCTTGTCGATATTCAGGTTCGTGCATCTTTAGTCTTTATAATTTTGTATGATTTAGGTAGATCTATTTAAATAATTAATGATTAGATACCGTTTTTAACAAAGTTTATCTTTACATTTTTGATCTTTCATTATTTAAACATACATTTTGTGCATCATTGAAAGTTTGTAACCTTCTTTTGTTCACTGTGTCACTCATTCAATCGAGGAATATGAAATTCAAAAAGAATTTCAACAAGGGAAAACATCAGATTTGAGTACATTTGAGAGGGCTTGAAAAATTTTGTGATGCTTTCTTAAATGGCATATTCGTGATTCTGTGTAAAATAAATTTTAGTCAAGTGATTCGTTTAAAAACGTTAATGAGATGTTTAATAAAAAAAAAGATCTTTGCTGATTTTCAGGCAAATGTCAGACGAGTATAAATATAACTATCAAATATAATACGCTACAAAACCATGGGAAGAACATTTATTTATCGAGGTATCTATGTAAAGAAAATCTATTAAGAACAAAATTTCGATGATTTTTTATCGTGGAAACATCTAATCGAAGACTTTACTGTAAAAGTTAAATATAGAAAAAACTATGTTTTAATTTCTATAGTATGTACAATCAACAATTTTGCATTTCAATATTTTTAAGTTATTTAAAAGACATAAAATTTGAATCAAACTTTTTTTTTATTACTTATTTAATTAATGTTATTGTTAACATAATTTATTTCCATTGCTATTTAATAAGATTGTTAAAACTGTTTTGTCTTTTTAAAATTTTGTAAAATTGTCCGAGATTTCGATAAAATAGTTTTAAATGATAAAGAATGATAGTGTTTTAAGGAAAAAACCAAAAGTTATTATAAACAGTATCTTGATCATTTTCAGTTTTAATAAAAGCATTTTTGAAAACATATTTTCGTTATTTATTGTAATTAGATGTGTCCAATATAAAGCCTTTTACTCAATAAGAGTTTTCATATCTCAATAATTTTTTATAGTAAAAGCTTTAATAATTTAGTACAAATTTTTCATGTTCGCAATCAATCTTTTCTTCATGCCTTTACCTACATTTACACAAATAAACATTCATGTATGTTTATAAAATTATTAATGATATTTTCTTAGTGTTAAATTAGTTTAAATTATAACTTTCAAGACGCAACAAATAATCTCAAAATGGAATAACAATATACATATATAAGTTAGTTATACAGTTCGCTTTACAAATTATTTATACTTAATTTAGTTACAAATTTATATAAAGTATATGAAGATTTTGTAAAATGACTTGCGGAAGAATTCAAAATTCTTTGCATTTTAATTATTAATCGAAAATTTTTTGATCTCAGAAAGCATCTCGTTTAAGACTCTCTAAGCCAGAAGTCAATGTGACTGAAGGAAAATATTGATTTTCTAATACGTATCATAGTAAATAAAGCTGCAATGTGATTGACAGAAAAGTTATGCTCGCTTACTACGTGATGTTAAAAATAAAAAAATAAAATTCAAATAGACAATAAATATCAATCTGGCATAGAATCTATTCGAGGAAAATTCGCAGTTAACTATTTGAGAAAGAAATATTCGCAGTTTGACTTTAAGTTCTTATATAAAGTGCCAATCAATAAATAACACTGTTTTCTCGTATTATTTTAGTTATATATTAATGTATTGACTGTATTTATTGATAGCAATATTTATACTTTTGAATGTTTTTTATTATCAGATGACTGAAAGTTAAGAACAACTTAACAATCCACTCTGATGTCAAGTTTAGTTCTGATAATCATTCATTAAATATTTAATTTTCTTAATTTAAAACTTGGAAATAATTGTTTATCAAAATCTATAAAATAGTCGATCTTTAGGTAAAAATTGTAAAAATGAAAACTCGTTTCAATAAAATTCATTTTCTTGTTAAATAAAGTTTGGCATCTTTTAGAAATTACTTATTTTTTTTTTGAAAACTTCAAAGCCAAACATTTTTTTATATAGGTATATATAAATTACTACTGTTGCGCAATTGTGTTAGATATACCTACTTAGATTTTTATTGAAGATTTTGCTCATTTTGGGGACTCTTGATGTGAATATTCCAAGTGTTCCGACGGGAAGTTTGAAGCGCATTTGAATAGAAACGATATCAGCTTAAATTACATGCACACATGCATTTAACGATTTATAAAGAGAAGCGATTTGTTTAGGGAATTTTAAATTAAATTTTAGTTATCTAACTTTGCAATTTAAGCTGTTCCAAAAAGTGAGAGATTCTTCACGTGAATTTCTTATTTAAAGCTTAAGACTGATGAGAAACTTCAACATTGAACTGATTAACATTACTGAGAGTAATAAATATTTTCACTTTTGCAATAGATATTCATTAATCCAAAAAAAAAACTGATGATAATGGTGTTGGTGGATGTGAGCAAAATAAATTATTTTGATTGCTGATGAGATGATCTTGTTTCAAACATTGCTGCTACATCTTTAATTGAAATATTTCGAGTGTAAAAATCATTTCTGCGAAGAAAAATTTTAAAGTTAAAGAATAAAAATTAATTCCAACTGATGAAAATAATTCTAAAATTAATGACAAAATATCTTTTTGTTTTTTTGAAGGGCATTTCTTTGTTTAAGTTTAAAATTTATTAGCAACTACAAACAGTAGTGATTTTAAATTTTGCATTTTTAAATTGTGAAATATACTTAGAAATCTTTAAATATTGATTAGACTTCCCTAAATTAAATTTTAAGTTTTATCTGAGTAAGGAAATAAATAAAAAAAATCTGAAGTAACTTACTGTAAGGAGGTACGACAATATTGTAAATTGCTTCCAGAGCTATTTCCTTCATCATTCATCTTGAAACTTTGACTTTTTATCTTAATGGGTGAATATTGTTGATCGATATTACGATTCGACGCTTCGATTGCACTTTCTTTTGTGTTCAAATTCAACGACATGAATGGTTGTTCTTGACCTCCTGAGTTGATGTTATTTTGATTCTTTTCATCGCTAATTCGTCTGACTCTTCCATGCAAAGTCAAATTACTAGCGGAAGACGAAGTTGCTACACCTATTGCATTAAAGGATTCTTCGGAATCAAGTTGATTCCGACTTTTTGATTTAAATCTTTGATTATTTATATCGTCATCATCCATATTGATCGAATCTTCCTTTAATTTCGGTTTTACAAATTTTATATTGTTATTTAAATTTCTAAACGACTCGCTCCGATATTTCTCGTTCATTTGATGTCGTCGTTCTTCCTTAATTTTTTCAATTCGTTCCCGATCTAATTTCAACATTTTTAAGCTTGTAAGACTTGTAGCTGAAGTAGCTTTATCATCATCAAAACCTTTGCGCTTATCAATTCCACTTTCGAAATTACTTTGAATCAATGAAATTCGATTCTCGGTTGTTGGTGTAATACGAGCATTGTATGTTTGAAGTGGCGTGCGTTCACTACCACATGATTGACTCCGTTGGTTTTCAACATAAACATTAAGATTGCCAATATTTAGATGCAACTTATGTCGCTCACGATCAGAATCGTCTGGAGATGTTTTAGTATCGACGAGATATCGACTGTGTTCAATACATTTTGGAATATGTTGACTAAAGCTTGGCAGTGTCTTTGGCTGACCTAATGTCTTTGGTTTTGAGTAATCAGTAGATTTTCTATTTGAGTTGCTTGTGAATTCGTCAATTTCTTTGATGCATTTATTGAATTCTTCAAATTTTCTGGCACTTCCAAATTCACGAATGAATGCATTTTCATCTAAACTTCTCGTCATCGTAAAGTTTTCAGGGTTTCTATTAGAAACTTTCCTGAGCTGAACTTCAGATTTGATTGATGGCGATTTTTGGAAGTCGTAGTTGGAAAGTTGAAGTTGTTCAAGTTGTTTCTTCTCATAATTAGACGAAAGCTTTCTTACTTTGCTGAGATTATTTGACGGTGCCTCTTTGGATATCTCAACCTTTTCTTTCCTTCTTAATTCAACATTTTCGTAAAAAGAACAATCTTGGTCGAGCTCAATGCTATCATAGGTTTCTTGATCATTGTCAGAATTGATTTTAATGCTTTTGAAAACATTCTCGTAATGATCGTCAGGCATATTTGATTTCTTCTCGTGAAACTCCATGTTCTCGTAAACTCTTGAAGGAAGCTCATCGAAAGAAGTCTCAAGAAAAGTATTTTCAGCTTGTTTTTCCTTTTCACTGAAATTTTCAAAGGAAAAATTTGATTGATTTGTTTCAGATAGTGCTGGAGATCTCAAGTTGTATGTGATTTTAATTGAAGATCTTATTGGATTCGTAATGTCATTGCTTTGATCATTTTGTGGCGATGATGATGATGATGGCACATGAACGATCGTTGGTTTCACTATCAAGTTTGCTTCATTTGAATCTTCACATAAATTTTCAACTTCTGGTGTAAACGCTGATTGACGATTGAAAATTTTCTGATAGCTAATCTCACTTGGAGTTATTGATGGACTTGTGTTGTCTGTTTCTGTTTTGATATCGGAGGTTGTCAAACTTTGATGTGTTGATGCTAACGTTGTCTGTTTCATCAATTCCAATGACATTTCATTCTCTTGTTCTACGTTTTTTAAGCTTAATGGTTGTTCATATTGATTGCAATCATAAATAGGAATATTGATAGGTGAGATAAGTGTTGAGCTTGAATTTGAACCAATTAAAAGTGAATAGCATGGAGATTTTAAAGGAGATTGCGTTGTCGTTGTTGTTGAGCTTAATTTTGACGAATTCATTTCTGAATTTTTGAACAGTTCAGAATCAGCTTCAAAACTTTCTCGTACGTTACTTTGACTTTGACTTTGACACATTTTATTGACGTCACTCGAAAGTTTGTCATTATCATCGTCGTCGCTTTTATAACTAAAATCTTTTACAAACGACATGACGCCTATTGGATAACTGAATCTTTCTTCTTTCTTCGATCCATAGACAGAATATTGCGTAACCGGATAACTGTATCGGTCATTTTCCTGTCTTAATGGAACGATATTTGTTGTGTCTATGATAGTTTTGTGTTGCCCTTGATGAGCATTCATTGTTGGTTGATTATGGATTTGGATTTGCGTGTAGATTGCAACACCGGCCTTGTTCGTGTTGGGAATAGTTGAAGAAGCTTTGGCGCCGGAATGTTCCGGTGTGCTACTATCAATATATTGAATGTCAGATAACTGATCTTCTAATTTGCAACGTTTCAATGACGAAGGCGGCTCTTCTTTCTTTATGCTGTTTTCATTTTCTGCTTCATTGATAATCGTCGTCCAAACCTTTGACTCATTTGGCGATGACATATTCACAGATTTCCCTTCAGTTTTATATTTTTCAGGACGCGACCGATGAACTCTTCTCAAAATTGAAGAATCTTTGTTCATTTTTGGACTACTTACGAGACTTTCGCTTTCACTAAAAATTCTCATCTCTGGTTCCTCACGATCAAAATTCAAACGTAATTCTGACATTTCTTTTGATGGGTACGTAGTCATACTTCCACGTAATGGCGATTGAAGTAAATCGAAATAAGAATCATGAGATACAGATCGACTATGTCCGGCTGTTCTGAAACTATCAATTGAACATGACCGTTGACAGGAAGCTTCTGAGGCTAGGGTATTTGCAGTGGCGTCCAATGTATCAAAACCTGAAATGATTTTGATATTGAAGAAAGTTGATAATCAATATTAAGAAAGTTGTAATTAAATCATCAAAAAAATTACTTTTTGCTAATTTCTTCTTCTCTTTGAAGCTACTATTGGCACTGTTAGAAGCTGAAACAATAATTGGAAGTTTACTTTGATTTTCATCTACTTCAGTCTCATTAACTTTTGATGTATCATCCATTACAATTGGATTTGAAATTAGCTTTGATTTGACGTTATTGTCGGATCGACGGTCACCACGTTGGAAGATCGATTTCCATGAATTTGTTTTTCTTTTATTCCAATTTCTAGCGGAGTAGAATATAAAATGAGCAGTTTTGAAAAGATTCATTTGTAAATAGACTCAACTTACCTTGGCACAGGCAAAACCGTATGATATTTATCAGGAAGACTGGCAGGGCCACCTCCAACTTCTATGTAGGAACTATAAGAATTGTTCGTCGATGTTGGCATTACTGGCATGACTTTTTCAATTTCCTTAGCATTCTTTCGACTACGTGCTTCTTCAAGGCTTATGAGCTTGGGAGGTCCAATTCCAAGACTTTTTGGACGTTCTACAAGAGATAAACTCGTATCGCGAAGCTCAGTTTGAATGCTGCTAGTATCGCTAAGTGAAGGCGGTTGCGATGATGAATTGAAGCAATCAAAATCGTAATTTGCGTCGTCAAATATTTTCTCTGAATTAACAATTAAATATTCTGTGACAACTGCTTGAACGCCTACACCTCTGAGAGCAGCAACACCACCAGATTCCAATGCGGGACTTCGCAATAAATTAGGCGCCCAAACAATTGCAATGTTTCTTTCAGTCATTCCAGTGTTTACAGAATGCTTTGCAATACGATTCAGATGACAAGCAAGATATTTCAATGTTCTGTAATGTGGGGGTGGAAGCTTTCTGACGGTTTGCTTGATCATTTTCAAACGCGTTTCATCAATTTCCGACCGAACCTGAATAGCTTCTACAAAATTATCATAAAGCTGATACGTACAAAGTGGATTTGGCAGCTCACGAAAATACATTTTGAGCAAGGAAGTGACTGCATGAATATCTTGCTTTATTTCTGTTTGCATCAAATCTGGAATTCTCTCTTCATCAAAAGCTCTCCGTAATTTTTGTATGTTTGATGTTATGCCAGAAAGACGATATACTCCGTCGACTATTCCATATTTTTCAATGAATTCGGCACAACATTTGAGAACCATTGGAATGTCTTGTCCACTGTTCATTAAATGTTCACCTAAATCGCAACTGAACACCCGTTCTTTGTATATTCCAGTTTGTTTGAGTCTTCGACGTGAGGGTCTTGCTAAGATAAAGCTTCGGAAAAATGTTATAAGTTTTCCATGCTTTCGAAGCACAGGCTTTGTTGGGGATAATGCAAGTGATCCAACTAGTGGAGCAGGTAAAGGCATATGTCGAGGAACTTTCTCGCCAATTGTTGCTACGCAATTCTGTGGAAAGAACCCAACTTCGTATTGATTTTTCTGAAAGTGATTTTTCTTCCCACGCCACCAAATAGATTCCGCAGGCGATGGCATGTCAATGACTGAGATCATGTCACCAACTTCGATAGAAATTTCGTCACAAGCTTGTGCAACATAACGCCGAATTCCATAAGCAGCTCCAACTGCTGGAGTGTTGATAGTAAGCATTGTATCTGAATCGGCTACTGGTAGTCGTCGTCCTTTATTATCCAACTACAAAGGCAGCGAAAATAAGATTAGTTATCAATTTGTGCAGAGAGTTCATTATTAACTTACTTGAAGCCATGTTAATACGGGCCCACAAGTCATAGCATCACTTGCAATTGTTGATAAACGTGATAAATAAAGCGACACGATATCTTCTAACTCTTCGTCATCTGTCGTCTCCAAATCTTCATTTAAATCCCTTAAATCACTCACTCTTCGATCATACACACAACGATGCAACATTTCATCAAGCATTTTGAGATTTTGAAGTGAACGTTTTATAAGAAACGGTTCAGATCGTCCAGCAGAAATTCTGATAATAAACCATTGTTGTGGCGTTTGACTTTCACTTTGTGTTGAATTTCCGGGGCCAACTAGCATCTCAGACTTATCATTAATCAGACGAATTAAAATATTTCCCAACTGTACGCGTTCATAATGAAAATGCGCACATTCTTCAAGTTTTGGAAAGCGACATGATGAAGACACTCCGGCCTTAAACAAATTTCGCAATCATAATATATAATGAATTAATTTTAATCTCTTTCTTACCTTTCTTGACGATATATTTTGTGAAGACTTGTAACGATGAGATTCTTGGGATGATGATGATGATATTAGTGAAACATTCATGAGTACAGATTCAGACCTTATACTTCCTGAATAGAAATCGAAGTTGCTCGCTTCATGGTCAGAATCGCTGTTCCCTAATGTCTTCAATGGTTCCATCATCAATTATTTACTTTGAAACTGTAAGTAACAAAACAGAAAAGAAAACAAAACGTGAATAGTTTGACTTGTTTATAAAATAAAAATCTAGAAAGACATCTTCTATTGCAGTCTAAGTCAGTTACAGTTATTCGTTGCACTAACTGATTAAACTTTCTGCTATATGAATAAAAAAGAGCATCTCCATTAAAGTTTTACCGCTTTTGCTGAAGTATTAACTAGACTTATATATAAGTATCTATGTATATATTTTAACATAAAAAATAATATGTAAATAATTAATTTCAAAACACCCTCAAAGTTTTGCATTAGTGCATAAGGTATTGAGAATATGTTAGCACATTGATTTTGTATTGGTTTTTAAGTAAGGTCGGGGTTTCAAAATGTGATTTAAAGAAAATTTTCAAATTCAGTAAATTACAGCAACAAAGGGAACAATTCCTTCTATGCTCTATAATATTTATAACAGTAAACTTAATTATTGAACTTTCTGTTTCTTAAAAATATTTACTATATTTTTGAATATTTCTCTCCGTTTTTGTTATGATTTAGGTTGCTCACTTTAATGATAATCTCAAAATTCTTCAATATAACTTATTCCATTTTATCAAATAATTATGATCTGAAACTATATGTACATATAACAAATTTTTAAAGTGAAATGGGTTACACTTGAGTGAATTTCAAAGAATTCTTTTTCAATAACATGTTGATTCCAATTATCCAACTAAAATCATTTTTAATTTATGTCTACATATACCTAATGTTTTCTGTTTGCACAAAATAATCGAAGTATTTTTAAGAAAGAAAATACAGAATTTTTAAGTTTGCAACAAATTTCATTGCCACTATTTTTTTGTAACTCACTTTATCGAAATACTTTTACATTTAAGTTATACTTAGTACAAGTTAACACGTTAAGGGTTATTGATGCTCTTGCAGATTAAATATTTAGTAAAATAGACATTTCCTCAAATTACAAATGAGACAAAATATTTTCTTCACTTCACAATGGACATGCAGTCAGATTTGATGTTGCACAATTTGCAAGGAAACTGCTTGATATATTGAACACATTCGCTGATTCAACTTGAACACATTCATAGTTTAAAATTCTTTTCACCGTTAATACTGCTAAAAGGAAAATTTCAATTTCTTCAATTTCTATATTCTAAATAGACCTAAATAATATAAATTTTACATTCATATTGACATTTAATATTAAAAAGGTTAAACTATATCGTAAATGGATTTTTGGAAGGTTTTCTGTAATTCACATGATGTCAATTTTTTATTCTATTTCTGATGTCATGACAACATGCTTTTTATGTATAATATGTTTCGCTAGAAAATAAATGCAAAATTTTAAGAACTAGAAAACATGGAATTGTTAGACCAAGTTGAAGAAAATAGTCAAAACTTCAAAAATATAAAAGTTGAAACTAAATCTCCATCTTCTATTATATTGACATGGGTATACGAGAAATCAGCATCCAACGGGACAGAAGAAGAAATTGTTTTTAAGTTACTGAAACTTGAAACATATCACGTATGGAAATCTCTGTTATGGACACGCAAAAATTTTGTGATCGTGGAGAATCTTGAGCAAAATTTTTGTTATACTTTTCGCATACACGTTATGTGTCAACGAGATTCTCAGTATGAAATTTTGGATGAATCAAATGTATTTAAAGTAAGGATCTTATTATTCTCAGATATATTAAGAATGGCAAATGTATTTTTTTCTTAATTGTAGTATTCTATTTTATTAGTGCCATCACATACGTCATTTATTAGAGCAATTCAAAAATCCCATCTTGAGTTAATTAAACACTATATTGAACTTATGCCAGATTTTATCGAATTGACATTTAAATCCTATTCTGCTTTGAGCATCGCCGTTTCTAACAATGACATAGCCGTTGTAAGACTTCTGCTTGAGCAAGGAGCTGATGTTAATTTTGGAATTCCTGAAATGTCACGCACGCCTTTGCATATTGCTATTTTTAATGGATTTTTAAATGTGGCTGATTTGCTAATAAAATGGAAAGCAAATATTAGATCTAAAGACATTCTCGGACTTAATGTGGTACGTAATAAATTGCCACTTTTTAATTAATTGCTATTAAAGTACAAACTATTTTCAATTTTTTAAGGCCCATCACGCTATTGATTCTAATGATCTTGATTCAGTGATTTACTGTATAGACTGCCTTGGAATTCATACTGAGACAAGAGATGATAGAGGTTTATCTCTCTTATTACGAGCGATCGTTAGCAAAGCATCACTCGATATTATCAGATACCTTTTAGACAAAAAAGCTTCGCAATCTGTACGTGACATTAATAATATGTCTATTTTACAACACGTTAGGATGCCAAATGATCATCAATTGGTCGAGATGTTGTTGAACTATAAGCCTAAATCGCAAACAGATGCTAAATTGAAGCTTAAACATAATGTACAAAAGCTTATTCTCTCCCGAAAAATGAAAAAAGAAGAAGGAGAAGATGAAGCGGCTGAAGAAAGCGTGTCAGCTTTTGAACAATGCGATTTATTTAAATAAATATTTTATTGTACTAAATTTTGACATTATTATAAATCCATGGTAAATAATGCGAAACATTTGTGTAGACAGCAGGAAGTGGAAACTTTCCACAGCTTGGAACACCAACTGAAACTATTCCAAATAGATAATATCGTGGCCCATATTCCTTAGAAGAAAATATTTTCACGAGTGGACCTCCTGAATCTCCATTACAAGAATCTTTGAAAATATAAAAACAAATTTGAAATAATTCTTTTTCGATTTCTAACTTTGTCTTTTTCAATTGGAAATACCTTTTCCTGCTTGACCACCCACGCATATTTGCCCCATACTAAAATTATAATGCTTTAGTTGTTTTATTTCTCTACATCTTTCAATATCAACGACAGGAAGCATGATGAACTGAAGTATTGGAGAAGATCTCGGATCATCAATATCAAACCAACCCCAGCCTTAAAAAATAATTAAATCTTAAAAATTTAATAATAAAATTTGAAAGAAAATTCTTGACCTGCAACTTCGACTATTTCACGAACCAAAGAATTTCGCCTGAGAACTTCGGTGGGAAGACAAATTGGACTAACGTATTGAGTAATATTTGCAGGCTCTGACAACTCAATAATTGCCAAATCATGTTTAAGAATCGTCCCATCATATTCTCTGGGAATTATGATTTTTTTTGTCTGAATAATTTGTAAAGGATCTGCACATTCATTATTTTCACAGTCAATCTCAGTCTCTAAATTATGTTCTCCAAGTTTTATAGCAGCTCTAAAAATGTCCAAATGAATAAAGAAAAAAGGAATACAGTGGAACTTTGATAAACAGATGGTTGAAGGTGCATCAGTTAATTGAGACAATTTTTCATACAAATTCGATTCAAGGGGACAAAACAAATCTGTTTATCAAGGTTTATCTCTTTATCGAAGTAACTGTTTATCGAAGTTCCACTGTAATATGAAAATTAATAAGTACAATTTTTATATTGTAATTTTTAAAAGAACCAAAAATGTTCTTATGAATTAATAAGCCAATATCTTATAAACTTCTTATATCCTAGAAACTTACAAATATTCCCCTTCCTCAAAATCAACAGTACAGTGAGCTGCTGTGATAACATATGTAGGATGAATGAGAGCTCCACCGCATTCATAACTCAAAGTGAATGTATCATAATTATTCCTACCTAACTTAACGATGTTTAACATTTTGAAACATGTTACATCTATTTGCTCAACTTACGCATTATTCCCAAGTGAGCGATCCATGGAAACTGACCCAGTGAGGCTCTTGAACCACCAACAATGCGATCTGAATATGAAATCCCACAAATTTCATTTAGCACGGTCCAATTTGCAGTAGAGTCTGTCCAAACTCTGATGTTCCAATTAGAGCAAACAAATATTAATAGAAACTCCCAAATATTTTTAAACATTCTTCAAAAAGATATTTCTATGTTTCTTGAACGGAAGAAATTATTCTGAAATTGAAGATATCAATAAACTTATATATAAGTTAAAAGGTTGACAATATTCACTTAACTACAATACTTACTGTTGGAAAACATTTAAAATGCATTGTAAAGAAAGACCTATGTATATCTACAACAAGTAGGTACATATTAATTTACCATGAAAATCAATTTTTCACAAAAAATTATATTTGCTGATTGCAAAACAAATGTGATTCGAATACTTAGTTCAGTTGGTACATCACAGAGCTTAGGATATTCTGAGATCGCAGGTTTTGAAAATATACATATCCAAGATCACTATGAAGTAATGAAAAACTTATACCTTATTGATACACATATACATTTTTATTAAATGTTCATTTCATCTTACTTATGTTTCAAGGTTACAACTGATTTACAGTTTCTGGTTTCTAAATATAAAAAGTTGCAATTTGTTCATCATAATCAATGTTTCACCATTCATAAGTTATTCATTTTTCACATACATATATAATAAATATCTTTTTAAGTCTATCCAACTTATTTGGATATCAATATAGTAGATCTAATACTTATTTTCTCATAAGTTGGTAAGTTAGTTTAAAATCAGGAAATAATTTTAATCTTCAAAACTTTTTGTTGCTGTTCTTGAACTTTTCTTTAACCCTTTTTTCTTTTTCATAAGATTTTTTTCTTCTGCAATGTTTCCCATTTCTTTCCTTGCGTAGTCATAAATTTAGTTTCAATAGTTATTTTAACTTTATTTCACTGATGTTTCAAACACGAATGCTTTAACTATATATATAAATGTATAATCAAATATTCTGTTTTTACTCCACTTGTCGTTGTTTTAAAACTACACACTATTTGTAATCCTCGATGTGACTTAAATAATTAATAAGTCAAATAGATACTTATAAACTTATACACATATTTATTCCTCACATTTAATATAAATATGTTTACACTATAAGTGTCATAGACTTCCTTTTCTTTGATTAGCATAATAAAATAGATTTTCATTTGGGATCCTTAAAATTGTTATGTTTTTCTCCACAGCTATTTCTTTAAAATTTAAACAAACACAGACATTGTCGGAAGTCTAATAAAAAGAACATGAAATTTACTTTCAATGTTTTTATCTTTTATACTCAACGGAGCATTTGCTTCCAAGATTTATTGCTTTATAAGTTTGAGCTTTATAAAATGTGACCAAATATGTCATTAAGAAAACAAAAAATTTTGTCATAAATCTTCTATTGTTGTCTGGTTAACTTTGAAGATCAACTAAACCTAATAAATTTATTAAGTTTAAATAACTTAGTGGACATCTATAAAAAATTTAAATGAAACGATTACAATTAGTTTTGATTTAAGAATATTTTTTGTTCTGATATTTTTTTCAGTGAATGCAAACGTGTTGTCTTACTACCTTCTAGAACAGCACATTTAAAGATTCACAACAATACATATTCTGAAGATCAAATATCTAATGATGATTGAACAATATTGAGCGAAATCAAAATTTTTAGCGTATGTAATTAGAGAGGGTGGTGTAGATAGAAATTGATAAATTGCACGCATTAGACAATACTTAGATAGTATTTAGCAGCTATTAAATTTATTTGAGTACTCAGTAATAATTGAAAATAACTGAATCTTCAGAACATACGAATATGACTTATAACACGTTCGTAAATAGATAGAAATAATTACTTAGAAAATACATTTAAGACAATCTCCAAATACACATCTATTTATAAAAACATTCATGAATGAAGTGCATTATTAAATGAGTATTTTGATAGGGAGCTAACTGCATAAATGAGGAAGTATGAAGAAGGTTAACAAAGACTTTTCCAATCATAGAATACTTAGTATAATTGTATAAAGTTGGATGGATTTCGTTTTAAAATTTTTAATATAGAAATAATATTAGGTATTTCACGAAAAATGGTAGTTAGAAAAGCTAATATTTACATTATATGCATTTTTTTAACAAATTATTAATAATTCATCGAATGTCTAACATAGATAATTGTTAAAAAATTAAGAAAAAAGAATAAGATTTTTTTTTAAATAAGTATCGAAAATTTCTTGGAAAATTTAATATTAATTAAATTTATTAGTTGTGGACTTAAACAAATGTTCAAAGAATTTTACTAAATATTATTTCTACGTCAAGCATTTTGGATCAATTTTCATTTTTTTAAAAATATCTTCCAAATCAAAAAAGTAGAAAATATTATGTAACGAGGATACTGAATTGCAGATTTTCTTCAATAAATACATATCTATTACCAACTTTGAAAAACCTGGTTAATACTCCTCTTACTTTTACTGTTCTGTGCACATTTGTCAACATAGGATGCAAGTTCGGATATAAATGATTGTATTGATGATATAGATTGTTTCAATTTTTGATTAATGAAATTGCTGAGTTTTATTGGAATTGAGGTCAATCATTTTTCATCTGTCAATCATGAAGATTTTCCACCCTTAGGGAATCGTCAATGTCTTTTTATATTTCAGAACTCAAAAATTAATGGAAGCGTTTTCATATTATTTACAATTTGTATCTCACTTATTCAACTTTGAAATCAAAATAAGCAATAAATAAAAATGAAATCCGTAACTTAATTTTTTTTTCTTTAATATTTATTGTTTGTTCTTGAACTGATAGCAAACTTCACTTGAAATCTCAATTCATGATTTTTCTTTCATATTTTTTTTTCATAGAAATCTCAATTCATAGAAAAGCTTTTATTTTAGAGATATCAAAATTCTAGGCTAAAAAAGGGACAAGATTGCCACGACTTAATAATGAAAAATCGATGAAATCGCTTTAGAAAATTGTTTCAAAAAAGATTTTGTAAATCTTTTTTACAACTTTAAATGCTTATTCTTTCTTCTTTATGAAACCATGATGCAAGGAAATGATGATTAAAGGAAATATTAAAATTATTTGTATAGTCAATTTAAATTAATGAAAGAGTTTATATAGCATGTTAACATTTACTTGATTGGCTGGCTAAATTTCTGTAACTCAGTTGAAGGCTATTTCTTGTAATTTTTTTCTTTCTTCATAAGACTGGTGGAAGTATAAAAGACAGTTCCCTCTCTCTACAAGAACTAAACATGATGTAAACAGCTTGATGCTATTATAACATACAAATATCTCCCGATAAAATAAATTTGGATCTCTCGTGAACAATCAATTTTGACGTTCTTTTTTTATAAAGGAAAAGAAACATTAGAAGAATGTCACAGATGTTCTTCAAGCAAAATTTAACTTCGTTAAAACAAAAAAGAGAACTGAGGATAAATCATTCATTTTAGGGAAAATAAAACAGGATAAAAATTTATGTACACATTGTTATTTCTTTCATACTTTTTCAACAAGGAAAACTAAGGTAGATGAATTTTTACATTGCAATGTAATGTAAGTAATTTCTTAAATAAAAAATTTATACCTACATATTTTCTGGAAGAATTTTCATTCACAACACAACTTTGAGTAGTTCAAGGAACGTAAACTATTTAAGTCTTAAAATAAAATTTTAAATTATCTATTCTTTTTTCTTTCATATCTACATTTGATTTGAAAAAGCTTCTTCGTATAGATAACCAGAACAGAAAATCACGAGAGTCAAGCATTTTTCATTAATTTCCTTTTAATTTTTTTTATCATACGATCTGGACGGAAAAGCAGAATAGATATCAAAGAAAAATATGATGTAAACTTATCTACTCATAAGCTTTCAATGACCGTTAACTTCCATAAATTTCAATACACTATTGAGTTGCAAATTGCAATAAGTTGTTATTCAATTAATTTTACTTGTAGCATAAGAAGGTTTTTTTTTCTACTACGCTAAACTTTACAAATTTTTTTCGTTTGTTTTAATGAAAAATATTTAGGTTTGGGTAAGTAAATAGATAGAATATTAAGGATATTGATGGGAAACAACAGAAAAAGGAATAATTTTGTAGAGTTTGGTCATGTTATGGCTCTTTTTCTAAAAGATAACTTTAAGATTGACAATAATCAATATTACCATAAAGCTTTCTAAACCTTTCGCAGATGAACTGAATATCGGCAAATTATTATTTATTTGAGCATCAACGCCAAAATTCTTTCCTTCATCTCTTGAAATAAAGTTGACATTGATGATTGCTTCCGCGACTCCAGTCGGTGTTGACACGATAAAATAGAATTCCCGAGGGACTTTCTCATGCATATGAACAACTGTTAGACGAGCTTCTTTGCAAAAAGGTATTGGAAGGTCCTATGTAGATAAATTTTTGTATTTTTAAGAATATCTTTCTATTTAATTTTTAAAAAATCTTACCGTAACACTATAAGCTAAAACATCGACACCATATTGATTACCAGGTGTATAGACTTTATCTCCGTGAAGCCACCGTGCCGCATATGCTGGTGGATTAGCGCAGAACTCTACAACTAAATGAAGAGGTGATCCTGGAAATGCTGAAGGTGTTGTGTTCTTAGCTGTGACTGTCGGAAAACCTTAAGAAAAATTTCGAACAATGAAAATTTAATTATAAATAAAGGAAAAGTAAGTTTTTTTTTCTACCTTTAACCCCAAGAGCAATTGTATTTAAAACTTCAAGCTTCTTTTTATTGGTCGGGTTTTGGCCTACACATTTATATATCCCAGCATCTTGATAAATGACGTCTTTAAGTGAATAGTGGCTATTCGGTGGATATGTTCCCACACCTACGCCTTTTAAACGTGATGTTATCGGATCTAGATGCGACCAACAGCCAAGTGAACCTTGAAGTTGAAAATTCATTTCTAATCTATTGTAACAGAAAAAAGACAGGATTAAAGAAATTACCTTGAGGGCATTGAAGTGTAACTGAACCGCCTAACTCAACTTCCATTTGAGAAAATTTTGATGTGCTATGAGCCACAAGGGGCATCTTTGATTGTGTCAATGAAGATGATGATGCAATTGCTAGATTTTGTTCTTCCGGCTCCGAGGTAACATCGATCGCGTCATCTTTTGTCAGAAAGTAGGATATCTATGTAAGTATGTTAAATAACTTAATAATAAAAATATTTACATCGAACATTAAGGAAATATCCAAAACTTGAATACGGCTTGTTGAGATGTCGAGCTGTACATTTGTACCAACCGGAATGTTCTCTTCGTATTGCTGTGAAATTTAGTAATCCCCCTTCACTTTGTGGTATCTAAAGTTAATAATGACAAGCTTGGTAAAAAAATGAAGATACATTTAAAGGAAAAGATATTTTTACCGGGGGATCACCATCGTCTTTTTGCCAAATTGCTGAGCTTGACGGATTTGAATCAACGTCACATTTCAAAGAGACAGGAATTCCTTCGCGTAACGGATATCCGAAACCAGGGGTTCTGGTTATGGCAAATGACGGAGTGTCTGCGAATATAAATTAAAGAAAAAGTCAGTTAAAGATAATCGCTTTTTAATATAATTGGACAACGATAAGAATGTAAATCTATTAACGCTCACATTGAACATCTAAAACGATTGATGCATTTTGACGCATTTTAAGTGATGGATGTTCCATGACGCACAATACACGAGCATTGTGATGTGCACGATAGATTACAGGAAGTTTGGCATCGGATTTGGCACCGGAATTGATTTTATAGTCTTTTTCATTTTCTTTTGATTTAACGACTTGAACTTCAAGACTATCAGAAGGAAGTTTAAGGGAATGGTGATCGACGGATGGGTTTAGAAGGATTTCCCAGCTCAAAAGGGGCTTTGGGTTACCACCTTCACTCACACATGATAAGGATATTTCAGCATTTTCCTTGACGGGGATAAAGAGATTGCTTGCATCAAGACGTCGAGAATCATAAGTTAAATAAGGTGGGCGTGGAGTTGATAATACAACAAGTTTTGTTAATCTTCCAGTCTCCATATAACCACGAAAATTTTCTGCTTCACATTGCCAATGACCATCATCTTCTAACATAACGTTATTGATTGTTAAACCACCACGAGGTTCTTTTATAAAACGAAACTCGTTCGTTCTCGTCCCTGCTTCGACAGCTTGCACAATTTGACCATCTTTTAACCACACGCTTGTTTGAATGTCAAGATCCACTTCACAATTTAACTTGATTTGAGATCTAGACTCAACATAAAGTATTGCAACTTCGTCAAGGTTTTGTGCATCACCATCGAACGGTCCCCGTACAATTGGGCGGAGTGGAAGTAAGTATGGTTCATCTACAACAAACTCATCAACATTCTTTTCAAACTCGAAGCTACTTCTTGTAAATCTTTTTTCTCGTCTTTTTCCATTATCATTTGTCAATGAACCATCATTCATCATAGATTTAAGAGACGGATCATCTCGAAAAAGGTTTTTAAAACTAATATCATCGTTGATTGTTTCTCTTATGTTTATGTTTGGCGTTGTGTTGTTTGATTTAGTCAACAATTGATTAAAATTATCTTCGCTATTTGTATTATTGTAACTATCAAAATCTGCAAATAGATACAAATGTTTAATCAATGAATAAGAAGAATTGCAATTGATAATAGGCTAATACTCACTATATATTTTAGAAACACTTTTATCTATAATGTTTTCATAAGACACGACTAAATTATGATGTTTCTGTTTTTGTTGTTCATGACGACTCATTGGGATATCATTCAGCCGTCGTCGGTTAACGCTGAAATGATGGCTAGTCTTTTGAATTTTCTGTATTTCATGATTCATGTACTGAGAGACGTTTTCAGGTGAAGATAGAGGTACAGAGTGCTTGTCATCTATTGTGCTGTATGACTGTGCTGAATGTTCGGCGGTGAACGCATTTGGTAAAGTATTTGATTTCATTTGCACACCTTAGAATTGCAGAAAATTAAAAAAGGATAAGAAACGATGTAAAATAAAACAAACATTTAGGCATGAAAGTAAGTGTGATTTTTGGAAAGGGTAGGAAAATTATCTAATTACGTACTTTTAAGCAGTGATTGTCGACTACGTGTAATCTTCATAATATTCTTTACATGAATAGATATTTTAGTATAAACGTTCAATGGCTTTTATAAAATTTAAAAATATTAGATATGGGATATTTCGAATGAAATAGGAAATCCTCCTTATAGAAGAAGTTTGTTTGGTTTTTTTACAAAATAGTGACTTGCAAAGACTTGCTGTTTAGTGATTTTTTTTTAAATTTAAATATCGGAAATAAGTTGATATGTTCCATCCCAATTTTTTTTATTCTGTAAAATAAAGAAAAAAGTGCTTCTCGAAATCAGGGCTTAGAACCTACATTTTTATTCTTATATTGTTTAAATTACACTTTAAAGAAACTCATTCGAATTCCGCTTTCTTAATTTTTTCTTCTTGTTTAACTCCAAGCACCGATTAACAGCATTTTTTCAAATGATTTGCATAAAATAAATGTTATATATTTACATATGTATGTTGTAAAAATACTTATAAACACATTACATTCTGGGAAGAATTCATGTGTTAACCGGTAACTCCTATGTGAATAATCCACAATCGGTCCCTGATCAATTCTGTTATGAAATAAATCTTTTACAAAATGTAATTGAAAATGTTGCTTGTAATAATAAATTGGGTGAGGATAGTTTACGATTATTAATCCCAGAGGACTGATGTTATTTTGCTTTCAAATATCTTTAACACAAGCTTTAACAAGTCGTAGGGAAGAATTGTATATTTTGTTTAATTAACATCTTTTTATTATATACAGAAGTGTTTGTATAAAATTTCCCCACAGAATAATGCAGATAATGATAATAGCGTGAAAAATGAAAATTATTCAAAATGGATGCTTTTTGATTCCAACAATTATGAATTATTTCCTTTTTCTCTTTACATCTATATTAATCTGAGGATAAAATATTTCATACAAAGTGCAAGAGTATTATAATAAAGTCTTAATACCTAAAAGATTTCGTTTCCTTCGAATTTAATCATTTTTTAGTTATTCAAAAAGTTTTTAATTTGAACTCTTTGCAACTCTTTAAAACTCAATTTGAGGACAATATTTTGTGATTCTCAGGATAAGAGATTTTATTTTCGTGCTAATTCATGCATAAATAATTTGTATAAAAAATATTGTAATAAAATCATCACAACACATTATAGAATATTTAATAATTTTATATGTGTATATGTACATGTAAATATGATAAATATTTATGATTAAACTTACATTTTGATAAGATGCAGACGTGTATTAAAATCCAACAATAAAAGCGCTTTGTGGTTTTCACTTTGAAATATGATATCATGACTCATCACACTTATAAGGGTCAAATAGGGGTCGAAAAAGGGGGAGGGGACGTTGGTGTTTTTGATTCCACTTGCAGAAAGCTTTGTTTAAGTTTTTATTGACAATTACCAGAAAAACCACCTTTTACTAATTTGTAAACCATCTTTCAATTGATCATTTATTGAATTTATTTCACTATTTCTTTTCACACTTCCTTGTTTATTTATTGATGTAAAGTTCTCAATTCTTTTGAGCTTGTTGTTTTCTAATGTCAATTAGGTATTATCTGATTATATTTTATATTAAGAAATAAAAATTTCTTTAAATTTATCTAAATATCTTCTTCTTTTTTCTTCAAAATTATAATTTGAAATTAATATAAATTTAATGGTATCTAAATAGTTCAGAGATTTTTCTTCGATAAGTTGTAGAATCACCATTCGTATCATATTTTTAATATATCCAATGATGATAAACACTTCTACAGAGTGAATACTCTAACAAGATTTGATTTTTCTTTCCTGTTTCTACTATCACATGTTCCACTCAAATGCTTGTTATCTTAAAAGGGAAGAAAATAGAAAATCTTCATTCTTCCCTCATTTCCAATTTATTTCATGTGATAGTGTTAGTCTAGTCTTTCGTATTTGCAGCATTTGCGATGAGCTCTTAATGTGCTTGTGTGAGAATCTTATGCTGTGAAAACACATTTTTGTTAGGAAGATGAGAAAGCGATGAAATCGATAATAAAACCAAATTGAGAAAAGAAAAATGAAAAAGCATTTTTCTTGATTTTCTCCATCGTCACTCCTTTGCATTGTAAGAGTAATATGTCGCTTCTTCCTATTTTTCCACTCATGAGTTTGGAATTGTTAACTTCAAACAAAGATAGTTATGTGACCGACATTTTGGATCTCAAACATGAGAACATTTTGAGTGAACATAAAATGATATCCGTACCATCCGAAGCTTTCAATTTAAATCCATTTTTACAATAGCTTTTAGAAGGGTGGATTTAGGTTCGTTTTCATCCTTAATTCCCCATCTTCATTTCATTCAACTCCCTCTAATCTCGGGATTCTTTATAACATAAAATTCTTCATCAGAAAAAACTGAGGATTTTATATCCATTAGTTTCTGCATTACCATAAAATTGAGATTAGAGGTTTCAATCGGATTGTACTTGTGAATATTATTTCAAAAATGCCAGACAAAAGAGCATACCGATCAATTGTGAAACTTAAACTATATTCCTATAAATTACAAAAATTATTTTCGCATCTACATAAACGAAAAATATACTCTTACGTAATCCAAAACAAATAATTTAATAAAAAATGTCCCTAGATGTACATATATGTATGTATGTATGTATTTCCCATTATATAAAAACTTCATTAAACTTATAGAGAATGATAATTCAAAGTAAATTTGTAGATATTTAGATAAATTAGTGCTAACTTTAATACCATCGATGAAAATTAAATCTGTATTTACCTATAGATTGATTTTCTCACTTTTTTATGAGTTCTTTTATAACTATTTTCTGTTTTTCACAAAGTATTTCTTTTGATGATTTAAACACACAGTAAATTACAGGTTGTCTGCTTGCCTCTTTAATTGTCAAGTTTTTAATATTGCTATTGTTAGATAAATCAATGTAAATGCACTATTACACAATTCACACAGGATCAAATAAAAAAGGCAAGAAAATGAGTTTTTGACCGCTTGGCGATAGATAATGAAGAATTAGAAGGAAAGTAAGTAGCAGAAGAAATAGAAATTCTTCTTTTTAGCTGTGTCTAGATAGGATTAGGGTGAGGAGAAATGTTGCAAACTAACTCGTCGCCAATCGATTGGCATGCTAGTTGGTATGTTACTGAAAAGAAGCGCATAAGAAAAGATTCTGCTGGGGATTGTCATGGAAATAAATTGGAAATGAGAGAAAAAGTGAAACCGTGAGAATCCTTGCGCAAAAAGAGAAATCATTCACACCATGGCTCATCAGAATTCCGTTCCATTATCTACACGATTTCTTTATGAAATAATCTTTAAAGCTTTAATTATTTCTTTCATATTTTCTTTTTGAAGAAGCTACTTGGTTATTATACAGATAATTTATTTATATTTTTATTAATTTCAATTTTTGGAAAATAGGTATTTATTTCATTCAACCAAGACATTTTTATATGATATATGTAACAATATTTTTATGTAGGGTTAGTGTATGAAAATGTGTATGAAATTCCTTCTTTAAAAGTAATGTTAATTTTTATGCATCGATGAATCTAATCTTAAAAAAAAACCTACAATTTTATTTTTCATGTAGGTATTTTACAGAGCTGTCATCTATGGATAAAATTGAAAAGTGTGAAATCTGAAGAAAAAAATTTGAATCGTATCACAAAAAGTAAATATTAGAACCAGTCGACTGCAGTCGAAAAGAAAAAAATTGGCACATTCAAAACGAATTTGAAAAAAAAGAAAACTCCGGAAATAATGAAAATGACCTTTTGCTTAATAAAATTTAAGATTGAAAATAAAACCTGCGTTTTTGTAGAAACTGTTATCAAATATCATTTTATTTTTATAACGATTACGCTGCAATTTTATCATTCAAAATCAAAAAGTTTATATGTATCCTCTACTGTTTCTCACAAAGAATTCTTTTTGTCCGTTTTCAGAAACAAATGTAGAATTCACATTCTCTTATTATCTCAAAGGGTAAAACAGGAATAAAAATTCTTTTAGGTAATTGATTAAATATTTTAATATTTCTTTATTTTTTCTCCTTAATTAATTAAAATTTTAAATAGAAGACGATTGATAGAGAATCTAAACTTCTACTTTCTACTTTCGTTGTAGACATTAGGACTTAAAAACTAAATATATATACAAGAGAAAACTAAAGAAATGTCAATTTTCCGAAATTTCAGGCCGTTATCCCATTTCCGCGAATTGCACTGAACCGGATATTAACTTTTATTTAAAAATAATATTAAGGTTTTATCCGGTTCAAACAGAAATACACAATCATTGAAGTTAGAAACACTAATCATTAATCATTAAATTTATTTTCTGGATATTTATTCTTTTAAATAATTTGTGATTTCATTAATTTGTTGATGGCATTTGTTGTTGTTTCGAAACATTATTTCGTCCTCTAAAACTTCCCAGAGTTTATTTTTCATAAATATTTTATGCATGGCTGAAAAAAGAATTCGCAATTTTGATAAGACATCTCAACATTACGATGAAGATTTTCACTGTGAGGAAATTGATCATAATGAAATCGAAATTGTACAGGTAAAATTAGTGCAGACATTTAATATGACTGACTTTCAAATATTAAAAATTTTCCATTTCTATATGATGTAGCTTATTGGGAAAGGCTCATTTGGTTCTGTTTACAAAGCTAATTGGAGAAGCAATGTTGTAGCAGTGAAAGCTTTATCAGGGCTTCCTGATAAAGGACCGCTCGTTGAAGTAAATTGAAATACTGACACCTGTCAAAAATGTTTCATTATAATCAATTATCTCGTAGGTTCGTTATCTTAGTCGTGTTCAGCATCCTAACATTATCGGACTTTACGCCACTTGCATAAAGAGTTCTAATGTGTGCCTTATAATGGAATATGCTGAAGGAGGATCGTTATATAATTTACTACATTGTTCAAGAATAAAATATAGTGCGGCTCATGCAATGAGTTGGTGCAGACAATGCGCTGATGTAAGTTGTTTTGAAAATTTCCACAATGGTGAAAAGTAAAACTTCAAATGTAAATTAACAGGGTGTTGCATATCTTCATGCAATGTCACCAAAGCCTCTAATTCACCGTGATCTTAAGCCTCCTAACCTTCTCCTCGTCAGAGATGGACTTGTACTTAAAATATGCGATTTTGGAACAGTGACAGATAAGTCAACACTCATGACAAATAACAAAGGATCTGCTGCTTGGATGGCACCTGAAGTGTTTGAAGGATCAAATTATTCGGAACGATGTGATGTTTTCAGTTGGAGCATTATTCTGTGGGAATGTATAGCTCGAGAACTTCCCTTTAAAGAGATTGAATTAACATACAGCATTATGTGGTGCGTTCATAAAGGCCAAAGACCGAATCTTATTGAAGGTCTCCCTAAACCAATAGGAAAACTAATGGTACAGTGTTGGGATCCTTCACCTCAAAGCCGTCCATCAATGGAAGAAGTTCATCAAAGAATGAAAGTTCTATGCCAGTTTTTTCCCGAAGCTGAGCCACTCAACATGGAAGCACAGCACGACGATGAAAATGTAGGATAATCGTTTAACGTACAGAAGAAATTCTCTTCTGAAGAAAAGAAGGATTTTTTTTCTTCAGAGACAATCCTCTGTAAAAGTATTCTTCATAATAATTATTGAACTTCTTTTAAGATTGAGACTGGAGTTGATACTTATGAATTGGAGTCAATTTATTGGCCTACTGATACAACTGAGCGTCCCCAAATTAAGATTAATGCGACAGATATGAATCATTACATTTATTCTATGTCATCAGAGAGAGATTGTTATGGATCACGTACTCCAACAAATCAATTTTTAACTCCAGGGATTCCGGTGGATGCACGATGGGCTAGTGGAGATTCTAGTGGCAATCCCAAAATCATTGCAACAAATGAGGTTCCTAATGTTAGAGGTAAAGTAGCATCAATATTGCAGCCTCTTCAAATTGATATTGATCCAAACACATGGGAACTCAAAAATCATGAAATTCAGCGACTCTTTGGAAATGTTTGTAAGTATTTTTTAAAAACTATATTCTATTTGTTCTATTCTAGTTAAAATAGAAGAATATTTTTTATTTTCCCATTCTTAATTATTTCATTTATTTGTAATTGCAATAAATAATAATTGCAATCAATATATAATCAAAAGATAAGAAATTCTATGATTTAACGCTTTTTAACTTTCTGTACACAATCAATTCGTGGCCAATGTGCCAATGATTTGGCTTAAAAATTTGGTCTCATTTCCTTATGATTTTATTTTGTTCTGCGATAGTGAAAAAGATTTAAATCTGAAACAGTATGCGAACATCATCAGAGTTTCAGTCCTTCATAAAATCAAAGAAACATAAAATTCAAGCAAGTCAAGACTTATTTGAGTTTGGCCGAGGCATCTGCTATATTTTTTCTTTTCTATCCTCTAATAATGTGTAGTATTTATTTTCTTCAGATCTTCAAATTCCCACAGACATGAATATACGTGATCAATATGAATATTTTTTTTCTCTTCTATATCTCTTTTTTTTTGTTCATCGGAAAATTTTTTTGCTTCGGGTTTTATTCAGTTGCAATTTTTAAGAGAAACGGCATAAGGAAACATCTTCGTAGACTTTTCATCATATCCTGAGGCCTCTCCTGATTCTCAATTATTGTCTGCTAGACCATTTGTTTTCTTCAGTATTAAAAGTGTTCTCGCTAAGCTTAAATCGTTTTCGAATCCATGAATTTGGAATTTTACTTTATCACTCAAATATACATTTGTATTTAACCGAAAATTATTGTGAATTTATTTTCTTCAACGCTACGAATCTACGAATGAATAAAAAATTCTCATTTGATTATTCTCCAAACTTTTTTTTGATGATTAATATCAAAATGAATATTTACAACGTGATGAATAAAGTTTGATAAGTGATTTTTATTCCCATTCCTTGTGTCATTCAATATCAGAAGAACAAACTATTGAAACAAAGAAAAAGAAAAGAAATTTCAATCTACAAAAATTTTTGCTCAAGTTCTTTCAGTTTTGTTTACATCACCGAAACGCACATAAAAAAGAAAAATTTTAGTCGAAAAACTATTTTTTAAGAATATACAACCAGAGATGACTACAAATACTAAAGCAATAACAGAGTGCAGCAGTTGTTGTTGGATTATTTACTGTAAATATTTAAAAATTTATATGCAAGCACAAAAAAAAAATACCAAATTGATGATTAGTATAAGTTGTTGCTGTGAACGAAAATAATGAAAAAAAAGAATCGGTTTTTAAGTTTCCGGGGAAAAAACGAAGCAAAACGATATCTGGGCCGTGTTCTTGAAGTAAAAAAAAAAATAAAAAAAACGTTTACAATTTTTCTCATGTGACTCATCGCGCACAAGTTGTAAGGAAAATTTTCTTTTTGGTTATTCGAGAAAAGCTCGACGGAAAACTCGAATGATTCATAAGAAGAAGCGTCAAATTTTCTTGTTATATCGAACGTAAACATGTCGATCATAAAACAATTTAACTACTTGCTGAAAATTTTATGAAGTTCATTTCATCTGAGTCATAAAATTTCATGATTTCGAATGGATGGTGTACTATTTTCTAGCCAGATTAAATTTGGTTGATGTTTCACGACATGCTGCACCGAATCTCATTGCTCTTCTTTTTTTCTTGATTTATTCACATTTTAGCAAATAACCAAGGAATAACTTTAACAAAAAACTCATCATCGTCACTATGTCTCAATGATCAACAACAACAACAACAATTTGTTGGATCGTCACAAGGATTATCCAATCCCAGATTCAACGTAGATTCCGCTTCTTTGAATGGGTTTCAAACGACAAAAAATGAACTTAATTTAGCAATGCTTCAGATTCTCGATCCTCATTTAAGGCCAGTGCCACCAGTTCCTAACGAACCAACTTCACAAAATATTTACAAAGAACATATGGATCTTGCTCAAGAATATTTTAAAGTGAGTCAAGTTGCATCACATATTATATTTATTTATTACATCATGTTGGTTTTATTTTTCCAATAAAGAATCAGACAGAAATTGCATATCTAACGAAACATAAAGAAAGTCTCCTCAAAAATATGTCACCTGAGGAAAGAAATCTCCGATTGGATATTTGTAATAAACTTAAAGAAAAAGTAAGCATGGACAAAATGAGAAGGAGAATCTATCTAAGTAATTCTTTATAATTGCAGGAAGCTTTACTTAAACTAGAAGCACATTTGAGGCATCAATTTGAAGCAGTCAGCAATCAAAGGGAAGAAGATATAACGAATGAAGATGGATTTTGTGTACTCTGAAGAACAACAAATACATACATTTATAGATAATACATTAAAGTATCTACAATTTTCAATGAAATATATTTATGTAAATAATCACGATTTAAAAGACTCAAATAAAATTTTTCCTCTTTTTTTCAAACAATAAATCACCAACTTTTTTAACTTCAACACACAACAACGAAAAAATGTTGCGCAATGTTAAATCGAACAGATTATTGCTATAGGTCATGGCAGTTTATGGAGAAAAAAATGACACGCTGAAGATGAAATAAAAATTCACTCCCGTCTCCACTCTGGCATGAAATCCAAAAATAGTTATGACATGAGAAAGCAGAAGAATTTAGTTTCTCTACAAGTTTTTAATACTAAAAATCTATAAATTTTACATTACTCTTATTTCTACAAAGAACATATTATAAGTGAAGGTGTAGTTGCACGAGATTTTTAAATCCGTAAGCGAGTCTCAATCAATGCAACAATACACACAAAAATTGAACTGGAGGGAAGTATTTAGCGTGAGACCTACTTTCAGCGGACAACCATTATTTATTTTGCTTATTAATATTCCATTTTACTCATATTGAGTGGCAACGATGCGCCGAAAAAAAAACAGACAACTTTCACTTTTTACCATCGACCGCTTTTAGATGTTTGTTTGACGCGACTTGACTTCTACCTACGTCAACAAAATTTTAGTTGTATAAAATTTTTACCGATTAGGTTGAGAGCTAATAATTGATTTCGATCAGTTGATAATCAGTTTCATTTAAATATTTTAACTATTTAATCGTTCGAGGAAAAAAAAATGAATTGAAGAGAAAATGAAAGGAAATCTCCAAATTTTCAATTTTATTGTCAAGTTTTTTTTAATTTGAATTATATATATAAAAAAATTGAAAATTTATTAATTTAATAATCCTGAGTGAATAGATGAAGAATCAAATATTTAATTCCCACTATTTACTAGCTTAAAACTTAAAATTTATGTTAACTTATTGAAGAAAGAGAAACAAGAAAATAGTTTTCAGCTTCGAGCTCGAAAAAAAGAAAATTCACACAATATTATGCTATACCATTGCATTGTACAAAGTTGTAAAGTCTAATGATCCATAATCAGTATAAATTTACCAAATACTTTGCTTTTTAAAGACAAGAAAACTTTAGTTACATCTTCTTTTCTTTTCTTGTTACACAATTTGTCATTAGATATCAAATTGACTAAATATGTACACTTAAATAAATTTATAAATTTAAAATTTCAGGTTTTCTTTAGTCAAAAAGCGTAAAGAAAAATGTCTCGGTCACGTGATTAACCTACTTTATTTGCGCCAGTAATACTTATAATGTTTTTGTGTTACAGAGCTGGTTATATAATAAAATGCATATAATTTTCGAAGTCAACACAAGTTGAAATCGTTGTTTTGAATGCGGAAAAAAACTCGAGACTCTATTATTTTTGAAAAAAAAATTTTTTCCATTTACTTTTCAATAATCTACCACGAAGTTGTAAAGTTTACATTCAGTCAGATATCAATCTTTTGAATGAACTTGTATCACAATGAAACAAAGAAAAAAAAATTTCATCAGAAGAGAACTCAAACTAACTCTTAGTTAAAACTAGAGAACTAGAGAAAGATAGAAAGCAAAATAATATTCAGCATAATATGAAGTTGCCTGCAGTATTTTGTTTTCACAAGTTTTAATTTTATTATATTAGATAACTTCAACAGGAATTTATGAAAGTTTAACTTTAAAAGTTTAAATAAAATTTTCGAAGTTTTTCCATAAAATAACTCCAGTTAATATTTTATAAACCAATAATGTTTTCTAAATATTTAATATTATCTTGTTTGCTAATTTGTGTTGTATCATTTATAATAATTTAGAATTCCTAGTTACATATATGATGAGACACATTTATCTACAATTTTTCAATAAAATTACACAATTTCTATGCCAATAGATCA